GCCATTGCATGGCCATGCTGGGTCCGTTCTGTGGTCTTTCTGGCTCTACAGGCACGTACAGAACAGACGGTCTGCTTTCTGAAGAAACTTACCTTATGCTATGTCCTTTCAGTGGATCTATTTTACAAAGTCTCATGATATAAAGCCAGTGTAAATGTATTTCTCTCTTGTCTTGTGAGGATAGGATAGCTTTTAAATTTGGAGTGCTAAGTCAGCAGAAGTGTTGAATTAAGTGCCCCTGACCTAAGGAGCATTTAATTTAGTCAGTGTAGGGTTAGGGGAAGAGGCAGGTACAATCAGCCAGTTTTGGTGCAAAGCAGGTTAAAATGCATTTATAAAACAAATCTTGACAAACATGCTTTTGGAGAGTTTTATTTTAACTAAAACTTAACTTACTAAGCACTTATTACACGCCAGGCCCCGTGTTCAAAGGCAACAGGGAATCCCTGGTGACCCTGATGGACACAGCACTTCTCTGTGTCCCCTGCGTGCATCCTAATGCAGTTCAGAAGACAGAATGATTGTATACACAAATTTGTGGAATTTACTAACATTTCGTTCAGACTTCAAGCATTGAAAAGTGTAATGAATTTCATAGTGAATAATCATATACTCACCTTCTAGATTTTTTACCATTAACACTTTACTCTTCTTGCTTTATCACACATCTGTCTGTCTGTCCGTCTGTACCCGTCTTTATCTTGCAGCTTTTCTGCCGTGTGCTGACACTACTTTTATGCCATAGGAGGCATTGTTATTTTAAGAGCATGGTATGCCCTGTGCTGAAGATCACTTATTCTGTGTTCGACCACAGCAGGTGATTTTCCTAGAAAAGACTCAGGTTGCTGTAGCTAAAGAAAATCCAATTTCCCTCTTTGTGAAATAATGACAGTGTTATTATGAAGGTTAGATGTCTGACAAAGAATAATGTGTATTTCATACAAATGATCAAAAACATCATATTTAACCACAATTTTTTTTTTTGAGTCCTTGCCACTTTATGTAAGGCATTTTGAGAATCTTTGAGAGAAATTTTTTAAAAATAAGACAGGCCTGTGCCCATGACTTACTAGTGGGAGTGACCACCTGATATGCAAGTAGCTAACAGAAGACTGCCTGTCGGGGATGGAAGCACGTGGCAATGTCAGCAAGCAGGCTGGAGACCAGAGCCCTTAGTGAGGTAGGACTTGACAGAATTTGCGAAGGTGAGAAAGAAGGCTTTTTGTGCAGATAGAATATTGTAAGCAAAGGCGAGGATGTGGGGAAGTTTGGGAGACTGAAAAGGTGAAGCATAGAGTGAGGGCTGGGGGCAAGTAAGAATGAGGAATGTCACGGAAGGAAAAGTTAGAACCTCGATTGATGGACTAAGGAGCTTGGGGTTATTCCATGGTCAGCGAGAGCTAACGAAGAATTTATAATTACGTGCGGTTGATAGAGTCAGGTGGGGTTTGGTACCATACACAGAGGAAAAGAAGAGGACGAAGTTGAAGACATTGCTGAGTAGAAAGGAGAGAGAGGGGAAAGTTGGAAGAAAGTAGGGAAGAGACACCACGGAGTTGGAGCAGAGGAGCAGAATGAATTACTGTGTGACCGAACGCCTGCGGTTAAGGGACAAAGAGGGTTATTGGGAGTTCAAAGCGAAGAAGTCAGAGGCCAAAGTATGGGAGGTGCAGATTAGAGAGACAGAATGTGACAGACTGTGTGAGCTGATTAATAGTTACTGATATTAGAGGAGGGGCCCTAGCGGTCAGTAAAACGTCATCTGAGAGGGAGAGGAAGGAAAGAGGAGAGAGATTTGGAAAGATTTTGGATCAGGCTTGGAAAGATTTATCGGCAAGAGTCACATAAAACCAAGATGGAGTGTTCTAGGAAAAATAACAAAGGACAGAGAGAAGCAAACATTTAACTAGATTTGCCTAAAAGGATTTCATAACCTTCATAGAGAGCTAAGATCATACACATAACAAATAATATAGCAATTATTACAACCAGTTTGTAAACAAAGTTTTAAAGAGAACTATCATGTTACATGTTTCTGTCCTAAGTTGTAATTTTTTTAGGATACTTGCTGCGGACAGCCCACATTTCACTTTTTTTCCCCTCAATATTGATGAAAATCTTTCTCTGACAGTTTGTTAACACTTATAGTCTTATTGTCATGGTAATGCTGAACTTTTCACTTTTCCTGTTGTTCTGGCTTAGGGCCTTTCTGTTCTTTTGCAGATGACTTCATTAAGCTTCTGTCAGTCTTTCCACACCGGAGTCAGGCGGCCTGGGTTTGAGTTCTAGACTGAGGCTACCCAGCTAGACAGAGGTAGAGCCAGAATTCCAAGCCCCTGGCAGCCAGCCTGGAGGGAAGTCGTGCTCCTAACTGAGCCGCCCTCAGCGTGCCACCATTTATGGAAATCCTAGACAAGCGAATGTCTGTATTCACTGTCACTTCACTGTACAAAATTTTTGTGCTTCTTGAGGTTTTATTTTAAAAACAAAACCCTGTAGTTCAGAACTTGAAGGGCACAGAGTATATACTGCTGAGTAACACCCTCCCTCAAAGGAAACTGCGGAAGAAAGGGACCCTCATAAAGGAAGTGTGACTGCCAGACCCTCAGCATGACTGCCTGTTTTTCCAGTACCCACTAGAGTGTCTCGAAAGTATCACCTTGTAAGTCATGTGTCCAAGAAATTCACTCATGTGGATGAAATGTCTTTCTGCTATTAATATATTATTTAGAGCAGAATCACTAGTAACTTCATTTTTTATATTGAGAGTATAAGAGATGTCAGAATGAAATCATACTTCTACATGTAAAACATATATTCTGTTTTTGATGCTTCTGGTACGTGGCAGGCAATTATCCACCCCATCTGCTGTCACTTAGGAGTGAAAAAGGCCAACCACCATAGAATTCTAAAATGTCAGAGAGGTATATTACACAGTTTGGGTAATTTTCTTACAAATCTCTCTCTCTCTCTCTCTCTCTCTCTCTCTCTCTTTCTCCCTTTCTCTCTCTCTCACACACACACACACACACTCACACACACATATACAGCGCTCTGACTCTCTCTCTCACACACACACACACACACACACACACACACACACTCACTCTGTCTTTCATTTACTAACACTAGATTTTTTTTTTTTAATGTAGGAAAGAAAACTCAAGTGAAGGGGAAAATTTGCTATTTCACATTCTTGGATAAACAAATTCAACATTGAAATTGTTTTTGTTTCTGTTTTTTAATAGCACTACTTGTTTTCTCCAAATTTATCTGTAAATTTAAGATGATTCAAATGAAAGTCAGGTTTTTTAAAAATTTGCCATCCTGATGCTAAAGTTGTTGTGTCAAACCTATAAAAGATGTTATGCTAAAGTGTTCGTGGTGTTTTATCTAGCGGGCTCCAGAGTAGCTTGCTACTTGTACAGATAGATTAGTAGGATGCAGTGGAGTCTAGCAGTAGGCCCAAGTTCAATATGATAAAGGTGACATTTCCAATCACTGAAGGAAAGATGGATTATTCATTAAATGGTGTTAGGACAGCAGACTAACTACAAGAAAAAATTAAGCTGGATTCCTATATTTTTTCTTATACCGATGTAAGTTCCAGGTAGATTAAAGATTTAAAATTTCAAAATCAAGGAACCAAAAACCAGAAAAACCATGGTTGCCTCAGGTGTGGGTATAGCAAGTGCAAGAGGTAGGCTACAGGTACTCTTCCTGCAATGCTCCTTGAAATTGGGTGCCATGTGTTTCCTGTTCCAAAATTTTATTTACAATGTTATTAAACTATAAAACTACTCTAAGGACTAATGAGAGAAAAAATATTTAAAAAATAGTTTTGGAGTATGGTAGCCCCCCGTTTGTGCAAGACGGAACTCCTTGGCATGTCAGGAGGAGTGTAGAAATGTAACTATAATCTCTTCAGAGAGCAATTTGACAAAATCCATCAAGTCTAAATGCAGTCTCATTAGCCTAGCAATTTTTCTTCAGGAATTTCACCCAGATTTATTGGCAAGTAGGGGAAGGATGTATAAGGATATGCATTGCAGCATTATTTACAGTAGCAAAATACTGAAAACTAGGTGAATGAGCATCACCATCTGCTGGTTAAATTATGGGGAATAAATACAATAGAACTCTCTGGAGCCATGTAAAAGAAAGATGTCATCCAGCTGTGCTGATGTACTTTGGAGAATGTTTCAGGCTGTTAATTTGGTGCGGGGAGCGGGGTGGGGAGGGGGAAGGTACAGAGCAGAAAGTATAATTTGGGCTCACTTATATTAAAACCAAAAAGGATCTCTGTGCATGGGGTGTGTAATTACATAAAGGAACTTTGTCAGTAGTAGTTGTCTTTGAAAGAATTGGCGTCTTAAGGTGGTAAGCATATTTTAAATTGCACGTCCATTTATTCTGTTTGAATATTTTAAAGGGAATGTATTACTTTTTCAAATAAAAATAACACCTAATTAAACCTACAACCGATTGCTGTAAACCAGTTAAAGTGAATAAAACAGATCCTCATTATTAGCATGTATACTCTCCAAAACATAATGTTAAGTGAAAGAAAAGACAACTTGCAAAAGGATACATACAGTTTAATGTTGTTTAGTTCAGCTTTAAAACATAGAAGTTACTTAGGAATGCACACATGTGCAGTGGAAGTATAGAAACATGTACAGGAATGAATTCAGCTTCAGAGTAGTTACCTGGGGGAAGGAAGCAGAGAGGGAGTGGGGCAGCCTGCTCTAACAGTTTCTTTGTTGCTGTCGTACAGTTCCTGAGCAAATATGGCAAAATGTTAACACCAATAAAATCAGGTTGATGCTGCTTTTGTTCTTTCGTACATGTTTAAAATTTTTTATTCAGATTTAAAATTGCTTTAAATTTCTGTTGATTTCTTTCAGCACCTCTATTGTCTATTGTAGTCAGTTATGTGATTTCTTCTGACTTGAGTCATGTTTTCTAGATGTCACAAATTTTCTTCCTCCTAACAACAGGTCAGCAGTGGCAATGACCCCTGGTCAGCCTGGAGTGCCTCCAAATCTGGAAACTGGGACAGCACGGATGGCTGGGGAGCCAAGCCAGAGGGAGCTGCAGCCCAGAGAAACACTTCCAATAACTGGGACACTGCCTTTGGTCATCCCCAGGCCTACCAAGGACCAGGTAAGGAAGAGAGCTCTGCCGGCGATGAGGCCCACCTGAAGACTAGGGCATCTGAATCAAAAATGGATTTTAATCCAAGGAACTCATCTTAGGTGTTCCTAATAGCAAACTTATTTTTCTGGATCCTAATGTAGGTAGTTGTTGTTATAATCTTTAGTCCAATCTCAGTTGTCTGTCAAGGAGTCACAAATACAAATACTGGCAGGGGCCAGGTCCATAAAGCAGAAGGGCAGAGCGGCCCCCCTCTCGCCAGTGGATTGATACCATTGCAGGACAGCTGGGCTGGTGGTCCTGGACCTCCACAGTCCCAGAAAGAGACTGGAAAGCTCGATTTTTATGTCATCTTCGCACTTTAAAATCTTATCAACTAATACATTTGTTTTTAAATCTTGGGCCCCCCAGAAATGTGTATATAAATCAAATATGGTTCATCACCTACCAGTTTATGATCTCTGCTTAGCTATTTCATCTTGTCCTCGACTACCTGTTCGACTGTCAGGCTATTTAATAAAAATACTGAGGCAGAAAAGGAATTTATAGAAGAGGAAACAATTCAGGAATTAACAAGTGATATTTATGTCTGTTGTGAAATTAAATATAAAGATAAAAATCTGCTCAGTATTTTTTTTATGATCCCTATATGAGCCCACTGTGCTAGAAATTGAGTGTGCTACATGGCAAGGAACTTGCATGCGGGAGCCATAAAGGGCACAGGTACTGGTCCCAAGCCCCCACATGTAGGCAGGAGCTGGACTCTTGGCAGGCCCGGGAGTCGTGGGCTCGGTAGACAAGTTGAGACCAGACTGCTGACGTCGAGTTCTATAGTGATTTGGCGTGGCGCCAGGAAACTTGGCCCAGATCCTTCTAATACTTTCTCTTCTTTTCTCTGTTGGCCTTTGTCTCTCGTGGTGGCACTCTTAGGGCAGAGATCCCATGGCAGTTTCCTGCCTAATAGCAAAAGTTCACCTCAGACCACCAGAGGTGGGAGACAGGCACAGATGGGGAGGAGAAAGGAAGCGGGAGAGCGGGCAGCACCTTGTCTGACGCAGATGATGGTTATGTTAGGCTGCTGATGCTGGTTAATTACTTCTTGTCTCTCATTTTTTTCTCTTCCCGTTTCTCTTCCATCCCCCAGTCCGTTTCTTTCCATCTTTCCCGTCATTGCCCCTCCCTCACCTGTTATTATTGGTGTTACACAGTTCCTTTTCCAAGCCCTTTCATCCCTTTGTCCTCCCCAATCATCTTGACTTAAAGGGTATTGATCTGCTTATTTGCACATTTATAAAGCAAGATTTATCAATGAACGGGCCTCTAGGAGGCTTTCCTTGAGTACGACATAGCATTTTTATGGTCTGCATTTATCTGAAGTTACTTGGACTGACAGTCCTCTTTAAGTTGTTTCTAACGTGTCTTCTGCTGTAAATGGCAAAATCTACAGTTCAAGCCTTAAAGCCGACTACAGGACCTATATTCCCTGTACTCTTCGAGTCTGCATTATACTCCACCCTTTTCTCCTTTTTTAATTGGTTAACCCACTTCGTAGTTTTTACCAGAAAATTAAGTCATTCCATTTTTATTTTGTTTTTCTTTACTGACAATCTTCCATGCCCACACCAGCAACTGGTGATGACGACGACTGGGATGAAGACTGGGATGACCCCAAGTCGTCTTCCCCCTACTTTAAGGACTCAGAGTCAGCCGAGGCAGGCGGTGCTGCGCGTGGGAACAGCCGTGCTGGTTCCTCGTCCATGAAGCTGCCACTTAACAAGTAGGTTTGAAGGGAGTCGGGGGGGTGTGGACTCCTCTCTGCGTAGAACAGACAGAAGGTACAGAGGGATTTTTCTCTTCTCTAATTTATGGCGTTTTGGGCGTGATTTGGTCATTTTTATTTTGATCGTAGCTTGGAAGCTTATTTAAAAATTTTTTTTCATTTTAAAGGGAAATATTTGTAAAATTTAATATTCCGCAAACACTGTTTTTACCTTTATCAACTCTGTGACATATTAAGGTTTCACTGCTGATGTCACAGGAAAACCAAAAATAACTGTCTTTTAAATGTTTTACTATTTTTTGGTCACCTACCGTCTTGCCAGGCATTGCGCAAAGCAGTTTGCATGCATTCTCATGTGGCCCTCGCTTCCCTGTGCTGTACACACAATCTCTGTTTTACTGTGGGAGAAACTGAAGCCCAGAGAGGTTAAGTGAGTGCCCATGCTCACACAGGTGGTAAGTGGTCTGGTCAGGATTCCAAACCAGACTCCAGGCTTCTGAGTACGTGCTCTGAACTGCTGTGCCTAATGTGTTTAGGACTTTGTTTTCACTTAGGTTAAAAAAAAAAAGTTTTGAATAGTACTTGTAGATAACACCCTTTAACAGGAAAGCATATGGAAAGGGAAAATATGGACAGAGCATTGTAGGATGGATGGCTTGGTAGAGAGTTCTGGATAAGTCTAGTTTATACCAGTGTAGTTTGAAGGAGATAAAATTTATGACGTCCATAAAAATCTTTGGGCACTCTTTCTTACAGCAGTTATAGTTAAAATAGTTTTATTTTCTAAAGTTACTAATATTTTTTCTCAGTGTCCCAAGTTCATGATTCAAAGCAGATATTAAGGAATGTTAATCCATATCTGGAAAAAATTGTAAACATACTGTTAGATATATCTATCTAGATATCAAGCTCTAGTTCTAGATCTACATACATATGTATACGTTTAATAAGTCCTACAAGTTTTTAGTATATTTAAATAGCATCAGTGATTATTTGAGTTATCTTTTAGCTACACACTTTTCCTACGTCTCTGTCTAGTTTCTTCCATTATGTATTTTCATACTCAATTGCTTATCTAATAAAATTAATCATTTATTATTGACTTGCATCTTGTTTCTTAGAGTCAAATTTGAAGTTCTCAGTATGGTCCTAGTGATGTATATTACTCTCAGTTCCTTAAACCTGAAAACAGTATATTTAAAACCCATTTAAATAGAATGTGCCTCTTAGCCCCAGTTGGCAAATGAGGAAGCAGAGACTGGGTGGGACAAATGACCGGCCAAGTTTTCGTTGCTAGAAAGTGAGATTCTGGCTGGTGCCCCAGACCTCTGACCCCTCTCCTGGGCTTCCCGCTGCTCCTTGCTCGCTCTCTAATTTGCTGTGTGATCTTGAGAAAGTTGGACCACCTGTCTAAACCTCGGTTTCCTCATCTCTGAAGTGAAGGGGTTGGCTTTAAGAATTCTTTCTGTTCTAAAATTCCATTCCAGGTTGAAACTAAATTAGAGCAGTCCTAATTTATACCTGCACAGCTGAAGTGTCTCTCTCTGTGGTACTGGGAACCATTTAAACTCCTGTGTATTTTTATTTAATTACAGTAAATTATAAATGTGAGTAAATTACTCATATTTATAACAGTTGTAAAAATTTTTTAAGTTAATAACGTTTTTCAGCAAATTAATTCATTGTGTATGATAGCTGTATTCTGCAATTCATGGAAGATAAACCTTATACTAGAAAAGATTAGAAATTTAATACACTTGAGCATTATAAAATCCATCTTGATAATACTCAAAAGAATTAATAAGTCGCATTGCTGTTCAGTGAGTATTAAGTGACTGCGTATTCAGTCCTAGAGTTTGCTACGGTCCATAAGAGGACCAGAAGTGTGAAACGTGATTTCTGCCCTCAGAAGCTTGCAGTCTCGTCCATTAATTCATTAGGCATTTAGTGTGCTCCCCTTACTCCTCGAGGTCCTGGGAATGCAGGTGCTCTGTCTAAGATACTTCTGGGCTGCTGTAATGTCCTCGTGGACAGTGGCGGTTAAGCGTGATAAATTGTATGGGAAGGGCATGCTCAGAATGTTGAAGAAGCACAGTGAAAACTACCTGAGGCTGTAGGAAGTACTTTCAAAAAGAAGATGGCATAATGAGAAATAATTTTTTAATTTAGGAGTACACACTAGGCTTTTTACATAAATTTTCTCATTTAATTCCCTTATCACCTGAAAAGATAGGTCATATTGGTCCCGTTCTTCCCACAAGGAGACTGAAGCTCTAAAGGTAACATAGCTTTTGTTGGAGTTGGATTTGGAATTCAAACCCAAGGCCATTCGGCTCCTATACGCCACTTGATTCTCTCTTGTATGAGCCATGTTTTAAAGAAGTCTGGGGACAAGGGAAAGCGGGGAACTCAGTCGAGAATGAAGAAGAAGATTCAGGCCTCTGAGAGCATCACGTTGGCCTTTAACCTGGTATCTGAATGAAATCAGAAGTAGCTGGTATTTTGTAGAAATACCATTTCTTTTTTCTATTTTAGCTATTTTGCTTCCTGAGGGTTTTTTTTTTTTTCTTGTTTATTTTTTTAAAAATTATAAAACCCAAATTAATCTTGTCTTCTTTAGAAGTAGCACTTCGGATGGCTATACATTTATTCCAGCTTTTTTCTAATTTTAGAAATTTGCTTTGGATTTAGATTTGATTCCTGGCAGTAGCCAATTTCATTACATTTTAGGTCTCTACTAGAAAGACTGGTTTTCTTTGTGTTTCATAAACTGGCTCTGAGGGCAGAGCCTCAGGAAGCCAGCACAGGGCCCATGAACAGCGGTGGCAGGGGGGTCACTATGGCTTCTATAGTTGGGATACATAAATTCTGGTGTGTGGCCACTGCCCTTGTGGCCAGCTCCAGATCATAAGCTTGTTACCATTTCCTCCTGTGACCTGGAGGACATTTTTCTGAGCCCTTCACTCTTCGTGGGGTGATAGTTTCAAATCCAGTTAAACAAATAGGTACCATAAATATACCTCCTGGAGAAAACTGTTCTCTTACTAGATAATGCTTGATTAAATGACTAATTGGCCATTGAACAATCTGATTATGTTAGGTTTCATTTACCACACTTTCCTAGGTCTAGTCCATCTGAAAGACAGAACAAGGTTAAAACTGCTTTAAAGTAAATGCAGATGAGAGCTATAGAATTCTTTTAAGGAAGGATTTGACTCACAAGCATTTGTCTTCATGATTAGGTTTCCTGGATTTGCAAAACCTGGGATGGAACAGTATTTGTTGGCCAAGCAACTAGCAAAACCCAAAGAGAAAATTCCTATCATTGTAAGTTTATTCGTTTTTGTTTCTTTGCTGCTGTTTCTGATTAAGCTCTTTTATAATGCTTTAAAGCTAAGAGGGTTATTACTCATTTGGAAAGTATTTTTAAACACACTTAATGCTCCAAATAACTGACAGTATTTGTTAGTATTTTAAGAGTACTAAAGATAATTACCATAAAGTAATGCCTATCATCTTGTTTAGATATTCTTTATATTTACCTTTTAGACTTAGTAATTGAACCAACAACACCCATACTATATATTCTTTTAACAATTTTTCTTCTCTAAGGTGTCTTGAAGTATCATTTACATGCTGTTTTGCTACCAGCCTTATCTACTTAGCTAATAAACCCAACTCAAATATTTAGGTTTCTACCCTGGCAGAGTACATGCCCATTATCAGAAGAAGGTACCTTTTCCACTATGTTCATATAATTAGTCTATCTTCCAGTAAACGAACTGTCAGGTAATAATAAGGAGCTAGCAAATAAAAGCTAGGAGTTAAGGATGCCATTAAGACTATCTGCCTTAGAATAACTTCATTATTATTTAGCATGCCGATAGATTTCCTGTGTAAGAGCTATATAGCTGTATATTCCCAGATGAAATTCTGGAAGAGAACTGTGGCTGTCTCCTGACCCTGTTGGCTTAGCCCTGTAACTCTAAGATGGGGGAAACCTGAGTGCAATCACCATGGACTCAGACAAGGGTGAGGAAACACCTGCTCTTATTCTGGCATCTCTGGGTCTTAGGAAACTTGGTAAAAGTGCATGGATGATATTGGATTTATTTTATTACTTGTTCCTACACCTTTGAAAAGCTTAAAATCCTAGGAACCTCTAGAGAGAAGGACTGTGACCAAGATCCCTGTTCATCCTTCTTCCCTCAAAGCAAATTTGGGGTTCTTACTTCTGAGTGGTTAGATTAAAGATAATTTTATTTTCTTCAGACTTTCTTGTAAATTCTAAACATGTATCATTGTTCTTTTCATTAAATTTAAAACTCCACACAGTTTAGAGCCATTGGCCCTGCCCCTTGGATTCTCAGAGGGGAATTTGTCACAAGCATGGTAATGGTTGTGGAACAGCATTTGAGTTTGTCCCCCATTGTTTGAATTGTCCCACAAGTCTTAGGTAGAGCTGGGCCTTGTAACCCACAGGCAGGCCTCTTTGCGTGGGCTTCTTACGTGGGAAAAGAAGCTGAGGGAAGCTATCACGTCTTTAGGAAACGAAGAGAAAGCAGAGATCTGGTTGTTTGCTTAATTTAAGGCGCAGTAAACTTCCCCACTAATAAAATGTGACTTGTGGGTATTGAGCCCTAGTGGATCAGAGTTGCTTTGCTTAGTCCCTGTCACTGCAGGAAATGCCCCAAAGCCTCCTCTTGAAGATTCCTATTCTGCAGCTTTAAGAATTTTCTGGATCTGGCCTTCCTCTTGGGGACCCAGAGCACCTTGTTGTCAGAGATCTTCTTTAGTCCCTTATTAAAATTCTCTGGGCCCCTGTCACCGTCCTGCCCTAATGACCTCTGAACTTTCATATCCCACCTTACTTTTTTCTCCTTCCACCTTTAAAAAGAATTAGGACTGGGTACACAGAAAATTAGAGTAAGCGTTGAGGAAGTTCAAGAAAAATTTGACATGGCTGAGATATCCAAGGGTGTAATTTTATATTTCACAAACTGTCAGCCCATGATACATAAGACAATTTTTTAAAACTAGCCCTTCATACATATAATTAAGACAACTGGACTAGAGAGAGAAGAATTCTGTTCCACCCAGCACGCCCAGAGGAGAGGGAAATGGGCATCTCTTCTGCGTGGCCTGAAGTGCCTATGTGTAGAGCAGGAGAATTTGTCCTGGCGAGTGTGTGCTTCAAATACAACCCCAACAGGAACACAGAACATGTACGTAACTTCTCAAAGAAGAGCAAGAATGACCCCCCCAAAGGACTTCTGGGCCTAAAAAGAATCATTTGATGACTTACATCAATTTTATTTGCTATTTTTCCATGTAACAAAATTAACTCTCCCTGGAACGTTGTGTAGGTTGGAGATTATGGCCCGATGTGGGTTTATCCTACCTCTACATTTGACTGTGTGGTAGCAGATCCCAGGAAAGGCTCCAAAATGTATGGGCTGAAGAGCTACATTGAATATCAGTTAACACCTACTGTAAGTATCCAGGTTACCAAAAGCAGAATCACGCTTACAGCACTAGTTACACTTGGCTTTTTTCTTCATTTTGTGTAGTTGGCATTGGTAACTTTTTCTCCTCTTTTCCTTCTTTTGTAGAACACTAATCGATCTGTAAACCACAGGTATAAACACTTTGACTGGTTATATGAGCGTCTTCTGGTTAAGTTTGGGTCAGCCATTCCAATCCCTTCTCTTCCAGATAAGCAAGTCACAGGTGAGTGTGTGTGACACTGAACCCAGGATGATAAGTAAAAAGACTCCAGTTGGAGTATCCTGATGTAAATCTGTAATGGCATTTTCCATCCTCCAGAGCAGGGGTCCCCAACCCCCATGCTGCAAACTGGTACCTGTCTGTGGCCTGTTAGGAACTGGGCTACACGGCAGGAGGTGAGTGGCGGGCGATCAGAGCCAAGCTTCATCTGTATTTGCAGCTGCTCCCCAGCACTAGCATCACCACGTCAGCTCCGCCTCAGATCATCAGGCATTTGATTCTCATGGGAGCACCGGTCCCTGGTGCCACAAAGGTTGGGGATCGCTGCTGTCAAGGAGCAAGATGTGTACAGTGTTCATGTACGTGGAAGTTCCCTAAACACCTAAGAAGAATGTTTCATAAAATTTTCTGTCAGAGTTCTTGTATACATATCTTGAAGTCATTGTGTCTTTATTGCTACACCCTTTCTTATAAAAGAAATATGTGAATTTTTTTAAATGTGAAAATGATACCAATAGAAATGATCCAAATAACCTAAAGTGGAAATAATACATGACCCAGCTGATGTAATAAACACATGATGCAGTCCAGCTGCATCGTTTTCATTAGAAGTACGTAAACATCAAATGCAGCAGCCACAGAGCTTCTAACTGTCAATGTCGGAAGTTCCCAAGTTTTCTACTTAGTTATTTAGGTGACTATTTATATTTAAATGTTTTTTTATTTATCATTGATTATTACCTTCCTCTCTTTTTCATTTATTAAAGGTGTTATGTTTCCCCACTAGACCTCCCCCAAATTTTCTGGTCAATAATCCATCAAGGGTGCCATCAGGGCCCTTTAAATACGCAGCTAGAGCGCATTCGTTTCTATGTCTGTTTTAAGAACTGTGATTTTTTTTTAACTCTCCAGCCTAGTATAGAACCTGGAATATTAATACTCAGGACTCAATATGTTTGTCTTGGAATAAAAGTTTGTAAAGTAGCTGAGCTTCACTAAAGATTAGAAAGAGTTTAAGTTTGTAGCTAGAAAATTTTCAGATAAATGAAACTAGTCATTATAGAAGGGAAAGAATTGAAGAGAGTAAGGCCTGAAAAGTTCGAACTAGAGAGGCCTCTAAGAAGTGGAAGACGTCCACAGGCTCACCTGAGCCCAGCGAGAGGTGACATGGAGGCCAGGAAGGAAGGGATCTTTCCAGAGGTCAGGGAAGGCCAGAGCGGGTTTGCTCCTCAGTTGCTAAGAGTTGAGCTAAATGGTTTAGAGAGGGACTGAGAATCTTCACCAGCCGACAGCAGAGCCAGCTCAAGACGGCTTTCAGCATTGTACTGAGGTTTATTCCTACGTGCCAGGTGTTGTGCGTGCCTAGACACGTCGCTTATGCTTTCTCGGTTCAGAGAATTTGAACACGCTCTGCTCAGTAGTGCTAAAAAGAGTATTTGAATCTGATCCCGAACTTGCTCTGTTTGTATTATGAGATACGGACCAACTAGTCTTTAGATAGAATTAGTAGTCCTTAGGATAAGAAAGTCATTCTCTTTAAAACTTTACTTTGTTTTACATTTTATGTTTCTCTGAAAATTTTTAAGGAAATGGAAACACTTGTTTCTAAAAAGTTGTTTTGATTTTGATTTTTTTTTTTAATTTTCAAAAGTTAGATTCTCGTATAGAATGGAGAGCGGGGCTGCATTGCCAGGCAGATAAACACACCCTCACCATGTGGGGGTGACTCTTGAGCAGCCTGGAAGCTGTATGAGGGTGGCCAGGCTGGCGGAGATTGCTGCCTCCGTCCACTCAGGTGTAACCACACCCCTAGTCCTGTGCCCGCTTCAGATAGTCACTGCTCCTCCTTTCTGTTATGCTTGTGTTAAATCACAGCTTCCTTTTTAAAAAATTTAGATTTCTTTCCATGACTACTTCAGTTCTGCCTTTCTCTCTGTTTTCAATTTCAGTCCATTTCCTGAATTTTATACTCTTCTTTATCAATTTGAATTGATTGGTACAATATGTGCTCCATGGTGTTTAAATAAATGGATTGATGAGCTACTTCAGGGCTGTGGAGATTTCTTATGTCTTTTAGATTTTAATACATTGTTTATTCTAAATCAGATATCTCAGTGCTGTTTTAAAGCATCATAGAGTCATGGTTCTGTTCCCACATTAAGGTTTGTTTAAAAAAAGCCTCAGGCCTGAAGTCAGGGGGATGTCCTAGAAAAGCCAGACAGCGACAGCCCCTCATCTGAAGATAGCTGCGCTTTGATTCACTGACTGGGACGTGTGCCGAGGAAACCGAAAAGCACAGAAGCCGCTTTATTTCTCCCTTCGCTTGTTTGCCTCCTGCCCACGGCGCCCACAAGATCGTTATTATATAACCCCCCTCTCGCTTACGCCCCGGAGGAAAGGGAAAGGAATGCCAAGTAGATGATGTCACGACATTTCTGTGGACTTGATCGTTCCTTGAAAAACTTACAGCTGACATTTTTTACTTGTTCATCAATTTTTTTTTTTCTTCCGTGAAATAATATCAAATCAATCTGGTTTTATTCCTGGGTGCAAAACTCGTATATTCGCAATTCTTAGTGAAAACCTAAGTAAGGTTTGTTGAACATAGGAAAATGGAAATCCTTCCTCCTTCCTTTTTTCTAATTCCTTGGAAACTGGTATGAAAATCTGACCAATCACACAATGACATCTGAAGTTGTCGTTTTGGAAGTAAACCAGCTATGGCAGAAAAATTTTCAGGAGGAACAAGAATCATTAATTAATTTCAGTCAACGAGAAGGTTATGAACTCTTGATATAATTCACTTGCCCCTAATGGGGAATTTGGCATAACCCTGCTGATCACTGGATCTTTTCTCTCCAGCGGGTGGAGGGTCATCTCAACAGATGAGACTGTTTCTGCACAGCCTAAGCTTAAGTAGTACTTAATCTCTACTAGTAAGTGCAGAATTTGAAGTGCTTTAATGTACAGCAGGTGTCCAGACCCATCATGCTGCTCACGTGCCAATTTTTTAGGTAATGAATTTTTCATATGTAGGTCGATAATAGTCTTCTTGTTAAAAGACTTATGCTTATTAGTACTCATAATTTCTAAGAGAAAGTCCAGGCTGCATTCTTTAAATTTTATTTTTAAACTTACGTATAGTAAATTCACTCCTTTTGGTGTACGTTCTAAGCGTTGACAGCCACCACTACAGTCTGGTGACCGCTCCATTCAGGATGCAAAAGGTCCCATCACCTCCCAGTGGTCCCTTGAGCCGCCCTTTTCCAGTCAGTCCCTCCTGCAGTCCTAGCTCATGTCAGCATTGATTTATTTTTTGACTCTCTAATTTTGCCTTTTCTAGAATATCATTATAAATGGAAACACGTAGTGCGTAGTCTTTTGAGTCTGGCTTTCACTTAGCAGAACACATTTGAGATTCATCCATCTTGTTGTGTATCAGTAGTTTGTTTCTTTTTATTGCTGAGAATGTTTCAGTGTATGACTATATCATAGTTTGTTTACCCATTCATTTAATGAAGTACATTTGGGTTTCCAGTTTGGGGCAATGCTAAGTAAAGCTGCTATAAACATTTAAATGCAAGTTTTTACATGAGCATAAGTTTTCAGTTCTCTTGAGTAAATACCTAGGAGTGGAATGACGGGGTCATATGGTGGGTATATGTTTAATATTTAAGAAATCGCCAGACTGTCATCCAAAGTGGCTGTACCATTTCGTAGCCCCCACCAGCCATGGATGAGACTGTCGGGGACTCTGCATCCTCACTTCCGCTTTTGCTGGTGTCTGTTTTTCTTTAACGAGTCTAGTAGGTGTGCAGTGATATCTCTTTATGGTTCTAATTTACATTTCCCTAATGACCAAAGGTGTTGAGCATTTTTCGTGTACCTGTTTCCCATCCACATATTTCCTTTGGTGACGTGTCTGTTTAACTCTTTTGCCCATTTTTTGTTAGGTGGTTTTGTTATAGTTAAATTTTGAGAATTGTTTATGTAGTCTGGAAACCAGTTTTCTGTCACATAATGTGATTTGCAAGTAATTTGTCCCAGGTGTGACTTTTCTGTTAACAAGATCTTTTGCATAACAAAAGCTTTTAATTTTAATGAAGTACAATTGTTTCTTTTATGGATTATGCTTTAGGTATCATGACTAAGACCTCTTTGCCTAACCCAAGTTCACATTGATAGTTTCTTCTACAAGCGTTGTGGTTTTAGGTTTTACATTTAGGTCTGCAATGCATTTTGAGTTCATGTTTATATAAGACGTGGCAAGGTAGGGGTTTATGTTTTGCAGATGGATGTCCAGTGGTTCTAATACTGTCTGTTACAAAGAGTGTTGCTTCTCTGTTGAATTTCCTTTGCACCTTTGTCAGAAGTCAGTTGACCACATTTGTGTGGGTTTATTCCTGGGTGCGGATTCTGTTTTGATCTGTGTCTGTCCTTTTGCCAGTACCATGACCTCTTAATTAATGTCGCTTTAGTGAGTCGTGAATCAGGTGACGTGAATCCTTTAACTTGATTCTTTTTCAAAATTGTTTTTGGTTCTTCTCCTCTTCCTCCTCCTTTTTTGCTTTTCCATGTAAATGTAAGAGTCAATCGTAGATATCCACAAGCAATCATGGTGGGATTTTAATTGGAATGACATTGATTCTATAGATCAATTTTGGTAGATTTGAAATCTTAATATGTAGTTTTCTAATCCAAGAACATAAATATATTGTATTTGATTTTCATTAGTGTTTTGTAGTTTTCATTGTACAGATTCAGCACATATTCTGCACATATTTCAGAATACAAAATCTGTTAGGTTTACATGTAAGAATTTCATCAGATTCTGTTGTAAATGGTACTATTTATTTTTTAATTTGTTTTTCAGCTGTTTGTTGCATTATGATACAGTTGATTTTTGTGTATTGACCTTGTATCTGTGACCTTGCGAAACTCACTAGTTCCAGGAGCTTTTTTGTGGATTTGGGGGGATTTTTGTGTAGACCATCTTGTCCTCTAAACTAGAGACTGCCTTATTTCATCCTCTCCAGCGTGTGCCTTCTGTTTCTGTTTCTGACTTCCAGCGTGAAGTCGAATAGGAGCAGCGGAAGCAGACATCTTTGCTTTGTTCCCAGTAGAGGAGAAAGCGTTGTCTTTCACCATCACATAAGATGTTAGCTTGAGGTTTTTTGTATATGCCCTTTTATCAAGTTAAGGGACTTCCCTTTTTTTCCTAGTTTGCTGAAAGTTGTCTGCATAAACGGATGCTGAATTTCGTTAAATGTATTTTGTGCATCTATAGCGGTAATCACATGGTTTTTCTTAATATACTGAACCAGCCTTGCATTCTTGGGATACACTTCACTTGGTCATGATGTACCACTCTTTTTTTTTCATATTACTATATTCAATTTGCTAATATTTAGTTGACGGATTTCGTGTAATGGTCATGAGGGTAATTGGTCTACTTAATCTTTGGTTGTGGTATTGGCATTTCTGGCCTCATAAGTTTGGAAGTATTCCCTTTTTTTCTATATTCTGGATGAGATTGTGTAGAATTGATATTATTTCTTCCATGAATGTTTGATAGAATTCACCACTGAAATAATCTGGACCTGAAGTGTCCTTTGTGGGAAGGCTTTTTAAGTCTGAATTTCCCAAACAGACATAGGGCTTGTCAGGTCGTCTCTTCTTCAGTGAGCTTCAGTAGTTTGGGTCTTTGTAGGAATTGATCTATTTCATATAAGTGGTTGGGGGTGGGTTTAGAATTGTTCATAGTTTTCCCATATTCTTTTAAGGTCTGTAGTGATAGGCACTCCTTCAGTCCTGGTGTGTCCTCTCTATTTTCTTGATTTTCTTGATTTTATCTCTCGTTTTTCTTTTATCTAGTTCATTATTTTTTACTCTTGTATTATTTCTCTCCATCTGTTTGCTTTGGATTTTGCTCTTTTTCTAGTTTTTTAACATGGAAACTTATTGTTCTGAGATTTTTCTTCTTTTCTATTACAAGCATTAAATGTTACAGAATTTCCTGTAGATTTAGCTATGTCTCAAATTTTGATTTGCATTTTCATGTTCATTCAGTTAAAAATATTTTCTAATTTCCCTTTTAAGTTCTTTGACCTGTGGATTATTTAGAAATATGTTTAATTTTTAAACATTTGGGCATTGCCACATTTTTTTTGTTGTTTGGTATCTAATGTTATTCTGTTAACGCCCAACGAGTAAGCATACTTTCTATGATTTTTAATCCTTTTAAGTTTATTGTACCTTTTTTTATGGCCTAACATATGGTCTGTACCGGAGAGTGTCAATGTGAGCTTCAAAAGAATGTGAACTCTGCAGCAGCTGGGTGGAGCACTCTCTGTATATTGTCAGTTAGGCTGAGCTGGTTGATATGTTGTCCAGCTGTCTGTATGGCTATAATATACATCTTTTTGTAACATCACAGTGCACTTCGGATTACTATTCTAGTAAATTAATAGAAATATCTCTCTCTGCAGTAGAGCTTCATTCCCTTCTCTCTTTTTATGCTATTATCATATATTGATATTTATGTATATTATAAATGCATCAGTGTAGTATGATAATTACTGCTTTTTATACTGTCTTTTAAAGAAGTTAGGAGAAGCAGTTAGAAAACATTTATCTGTGGAGTCTTTTATATTAACTCACATATTTTCGGTGCTCTTCTTTTCTCCCTATGGATTTGGGTAATTTCCTTTTAGCCTGAGGTAGCACGTTTTTATCCTGAAGGACTTCCTTTAATGTTTCTTGTAATGCAGGTCTGCTATCAGTGAATTCTCTCACATTGTATTTATCTAGGAATGTCTTTATTTTGCCTTTATTTTTGAAATACAGGTTTACTGGTTATAGAATTCATGTCAGATAGTTTTTCCTTCAGCGTGACGAATATGTCTTTCCATTGCCTTCTGCCCTCCATTGTGTCAGATGAGAAATCATTCTGTTCATTGGTCACACTGATAGACATGCATGTACACCCTACCATATGTGATAAATTGCTTTTTTCTTGCTGCTTTCAAGATTTTTCTTACTGTTTTTGTGTTTCAGCAGTTCGATTCTATTTATTCTAGTTGGGGTTTGTTGAGTTTCTTGGAAATATAGATTAAAGTTTTCTATCAAATTTGGGAAATGTTCTCCCATTATTTGTTCAAATATTTTTTTCTTCTTTCTCTTCTCCTTTGGGGTCTCCCATCACAAGTCTGTAGGTATATTTGATGAGGCCCTGTTCATTTTACTTTAGTTTTTTTCCTCTCTGTTCTTCATATTAGATAACTTCTTTTGATTTATCTTCAGATTCAGTTACTCATTCTTCTTCCATCTTGAATCTGCTTTTAAACCCTCTACAGTGAATTTTTAATTTTAGTCATTGTATTTTCAACTTCACGGTTTTCATTTGATTCTAATTTCTGTCTCTTAAGAATCTCTATTTGTTGGTTCTTTGCCATGTTTTTCTTTAATTTTTTAAACATGGCTTCCTTATGTTCTTTGACTATTGATAGAAGCTGTTCTGTCTGCCATTTTGTTTTTGTCTGCTAAATTCAACATCTGGGGACACTTACCAGATGGTCTCTCATGACTGCTTTTCTCAGCATGGGTCACGCCTTGCTGTTTCTTTGCAATCTCTTAATTTTTTGTTGAAAACTGGACATTTTAGAGACTATTATGTTAGCAAGTCTGGATTCTGATTTTTCTCTCTGAAAGTGGTTGTTTCTGCTTCATGTTTTTTTGTTTGCCTGGGCTAAATCTCTGAAATTCGTCTCTCTCGAAGCTCAGTTTTTATGTTTTTCTTTTTAAGTTTGGCTTCCTAGGGTTCACCTGCACCTGTGTAGATTGGGGGTAAGCCTACCTCAAGCCATTAAGGCTTCTGTCCTCTGCCGGAGGATCTGTGTGTGGGTAGGGGAGCACGTTCAAAGCACAAGTCACTTTAAAGTTAGCCCTGGCTTTTACCTTCTTGAAGGCCATTTCGTGTCTCCTTTACATACGTGTGCAGCCTCAGAGTTGGCCAGGAGTGTGTCGCTGGCCGGGACCCCATCTAGTCTCCACTGGTTCTGCCTCGGCCTCAGCCTGGAGTGTCCGTCTTGGCTCTACCATATAACCTTGGCTAGTGGAACCATCGGCCCTCCCTGGTTACCAGCCTCTGGATTGTCACTGCCGCCACCACTGAATATGGACATCTCCCACTGCTCTGGGTCACGTGAGCCTCCTCCCTCACCAGGGAAAATGCAGCTGCCAATCTTCACAGCCCGCTCCGTTCTGGCAGGACTTCAGCTCAACCACGAAGAGGGTGGGGAGGCACGGGACAGCCCTAGGCGCGACTTCCACTGTTCTTGCCTGAAACTCAGCAGTTTTACAAACATAAACTTCAGAAAGCTCTTTGCCTTCAGTCGATTTCCAGAGCACTGATTTTTTTGATTGTCTGGGTTTATAGTTTTAGGGGGACTGGCTTTGCTGATGGCCTTACTTGCTGTAGCTTGAATTTCCATCTTCAGAAACCTTTGAACTGATAGTGATATTGTTTGGTAGGCTTATAAAAATCCTCAGTGTTCCCTGATGTTTGGTGCGCCAAACTTGTTAAACTGATTTTCTACTTTTAAAACAAATAGGACTTATTAAGCTCTGTCTTAAGATGGTCATAGTTCTGGAATAGCTGCTTTTATTACTGCATTCATGGAAAATGTACTTTTGCTATTTTCCATTTAAGTAATTTTAAAAACAAGGGAGAAAAAGAGCTACAGTCCCGAGTTACTTTGCATAAATACCAAATTTACATTTGTATATCAGATATATTGCATTTGGATGCATTTTATAAATATAGAAATTTCATGTACTTTGAAAGAATTATTTATTAGAATTCCACACTATCACCCCTTTTTTGCCTATAGGACTTAATATGGCCACACAGGAACTAGCACAATGTTAGTTTATAAGAAAGAGAACGTTTTTCATATTGAAATAAGATTTACTTTTAAATTCATTAAGTATTTTGGGGATCCTTGAAGAAAATAGCACTCCACGGCTATGATTATTCTTGTCACAAAAGGTTTGTTGATTTGTCAAAATGGAATTTGATTCTTATAAACTAAAAAATCTGTTGTATCTTTCTTACGGGTCTAAGAGTATTCACTGGGTTGGCTTGTTTTTAGGTTAGTGAAAAATTACCATGGTTTACCTTTTACTAAAAAGTGTCTGTCAAGTAGCCAGTAGCTTTTCAGCTGTAGTAGCAGTGATTCATTTTAGACAAAGTTGTATATCACTCTTGGCGTGTGTCTTGCAGGTCGCTTTGAAGAAGAATTTATCAAAATGCGCATGGAGAGACTTCAGGCGTGGATGACCAGGATGTGTCGTCATCCAGTAATTGCAGAAAGTGAGGTTTTCCAGCAATTTCTAAATTTCCGGGATGAAAAGGTAGGATATTTTATTATGACAGCTTTAGAGTATATTGAGAATTGTCTCATTCACACCAATTTTATGTCTGAAAGGAGTTAAAATTATGTTAGTTAGGCGATTATTCCTCATTTCCTGCAAAGACAATGAAGGGATAGAAACCTAAGTCCCTACCCTTGGGAATGAGTCATGAAGTGTGACCGAACGGCTTGCCAGGATGGTTTTCTTTAAACCAGGGATGGCGTGGGCAGGAGATGAAGGATGCGACAGGGTAAAGAACTTCTTCCTAGATGCTTTTAAAAATGGGATAGACCCCCAAACTCTGCGGGCTGTTATCAGTGTGAGTGAGGGTAGCGGAAGGAACGACTTTTTGTGATCACATTTTAATCTGAAAACGTAATAGCGTTTTGAAAGGAAAGGTAGGTTCGGAATTGAGTCATCTTCCTAAAGCCAGGTGGTTTTCACACTGTAGTTGTGAGTCCAGAGTAGATGCTGCTCCCTCCCTGCCCCCACGGGCAGGCATCTGGCCAGTGGTCATCTGTTCTTTTTTGATAATCAAGAAAAAATGGACTGCTTGACATCCCATTATTATCTTCTTTGAAAGTCATTTTCTCGCTCATTAAGCTTTTATTAAAGATGGTCTCCCCATAGTTTCTCTCACAATTATTACATGTCTTAGAAAACAATCTAAAGAATTAAAGCATGTTAGCTCAGATGCCAAAAGCAGATCTGAAATACGTCACGATCCTGGAAAAAAGCGCCATGAAATGATTTTCATGTTTAATGAAAGAATATCGTACACTTGTTGGAACTTTCAGACAGAGGTTTACTTGCTAAACTTCTTTGCACTACTTTTCCCTACTAAAGTGACCACACTTACAATAACAAGCTAAAAGTTAGGACTCGGTGTGTTTGCACACATATGCATACCCTTAACATAGTTTAAGTATTTAAGTATTACTGCATATTTCTAGAATTGACAGGCTAATTTGAATGTGTTTTATGTGACCAGGTGGGGGATTAGAAAGCATTGAGGTGTTTCAGGATTTCTTTGTGAATTTGTGTGTATTTTAGGTCTAGCCTTGCAGGGTGCTCTGGAAAACTCTAGTTTTTCTGGTGAGATGTGGTATTCAGTCACTGCATGTCAAGTAGCTACGTTAGGTTCTTTGAGTGAGTTATGGATCCCCCTCCAAGTTTGTTGCCTTACTGGTGACCCACAAGGGCTTATTTTATTGATTTGGCAGGGATTTGATTTAGGAAACACTTCTAAAGATTTTTTTGTGCAGAATATTATTAAAAATAATCTAGATGTTGGTTTGGGGTTTTTGTTTTTGTTTTTTTAAATAACTTCCACCTTCAAAGATTGATCGACCTACTATAAAAGTGATGTAAGAGAAAAAAGGAATCAAGGCACTTGAGTTCTAGTCTTGGCTCTGCTTCTAACTACCCCTGTGATCTTGGCGAAGGCATTTACACTCTTTGGGCCACAATTTCGTCACATACTAAATGACAGTATAAAACTAGCTAGTCACTAAGAATTGTATTTTTGTAGTCAGTAGTAGCTCATATAGATTGGATGGACTCAAAATTCCAAAAAATCTATAGAAAAAAATTAGTAGAAATAAAATCAGTAAGGTAGATGGATATGAGACATTGCCTTTGTATTGGCAATAAACAGAATGAAAGTCTAAAAAAACTATTGTTTAGAATAGCATCAAAAATGTTAAATACCTAGGAATAAACATAAGAAAATATACAAAAGATCTACATAAAAAAAAAAAACAAGCAGCATTATTGAGAAAAATGAAAGAAGACATAAGTCAGTTTTCCATGTGCTTTTATGGATTAAAGAGCAGTAAAGATGTCATATGTAGAAAATCAAAGTACTAAGACTAGTCAAGATACTCTTGAAAAAGACTGAAGTGGGAGGAAGACTTTACTGGATGTTAAGACTCATCAAGCCAAAAGAATTTCAACAGCAAGGTAGTGGCATAAAGAGAGACAAACAGACCAGCAGAACAGAACAGAGCGGACACTTGATTTATGACAAGATGGTGCTGAGTACAGTGGGGGAAGGGCAGCCTTTTCAGTACATGGCGCTGGATCAGTTTTGGGGAAAAACGAAATTTGGTTACTACCTCACAAGAACCTACTGTTGATTTTGTTAGAGTTGATACAAGCATTGTGGTTATGTTTTTAAAACATGGCCTTCTCTGTTAAAGATATATTAATGAAGTATTTACAGGTAACATTATATTATGCCTGAGATTTCCATTTAAATAAGAAAAAAGAAGGTAAAATGGAGGAGAGTAGATAAAACAAGGTTGGCAAAATTTTGATAATTGTCGAGGCTGAATCTGTAGGGGGTTATTGTACTTTCTTCTTTTGCGTGTTTGGAAGTTGCCATTGTATAAAGTTTTTTAAAAAATCATTTCCAGATAGTACTCAGGTCTAACTGCGAAAGGCAACACAATGAAGTTTCTAGAAGGTAATAGGAGAATGTCTTCATTCCCCTAGAATTTCTGAAATAAGACAAAAACAAATATACAGGTAGAGACTGATAAACTACATTAAAATGAAGAACTTCTGTTTATCAGAAGAAGCCATTAAAAGTGAAAAATAAGCTAAAGATATGAACATATATAACCAACCAAGAGCTGGATTTTAAAATATATGAAAACCCACACAAATAGATAAGATCATCTACCCACAGAAAAGTTGGAGATTAGGTAATGTTTTGTGAAGTAAACTTTACTTCACAAAAGAAAATATCTGAGTCATCAACAGATGTTTACAGAAATACTTAATCTCATTAGTAATCAAGGAAATACAAATTAAAACAGTGAATACCACTGCATACACACCAGAATGGCTAAAATTAGAAAGTCTGACCATATCAAGTGTCTTTTGGTGAGATGGGAAGCAGCTGGGACTCACACTGCCGGTGGGTGTGAGAATCGGTTACGACTGCTTTGGAAAACAGTTTGGCATTATCTACTAAAGTGGAACAATTTTCCACTCCTGGGCATGTACCTAACAGAAATGCATGCACGCATGCGCCAGGAGACGTGTACGAAGCAGCTTCATTCAAACTCGGCAGGGGCCGGGGGTGGCTGCCAGTTGTAGAATGGATAAATAAGTGGAATATTCATACAATGGAATATTATACAGCAACAAATGAATGAACTACAGCTATAACAACAGTGTGAGTGTAGCTTCTAGGCCCAGGTTGAGCAAAAGAAGGCAGACACAAAAGAATGCGAAAAACCAGCAAAACTATAGTTTAGGTACTCAGGCTCAGGTAGTAAAATTCTAAAGTGAGGAAATGACAACCATGAAAGAGAGGGTCACGGTTACCCTGCGGGGGAGGAAGGGGTCGTGGTGGGGAAGGGACATGAGGGGGGCTTCTGTAATGCCAGCTCTTTTCACTTTCTTGGCCTTGGTGGTAGTGAATTTACTTGGCGAGAATTCCTTACACCGAGTAGTTTTGCTCTGGGCACTTGTCTATATGTATGTGCATATATGTTATATATATCTTAACAATAATATGTTTTAAAAATAGCTCACAATATTGATTCTTGTATTTTAGAAAAGCTTTAACCTTTTTTAGAAAACAACCTAAAATTTTGAGGCACTTTGTCAGAAATCATGGGGCGTATATATACCCTGTGTGTTTATGCTGGTAGGTATTGGGAAAGGAAAAGCATCTGAATCACCTCCCTCGTAAAGGATCCCTCCCTCTGAAAGGATCCGGCTCGTAGAGAGCGCGCTGTTTAGGATGAGGCTGCATTCGAGATGCATAGCACCCGGCCCGCCTTGCAGAGGGGTGTGGCGTGGGAGCTGCTCCCGGACAGATAAAGATGATCAGAGGGCTGATTCCGCTAGGGAGCTTTGAAAGGCGAGTTTGACTCTGCTCTCCACTTTAACTTGCAATGTTCCTATTCACAGGAGTGGAAAACTGGGAAGAGGAAGGCCGAGAAGGATGAGCTGGTGGGAGTTATGATATTTTCCACCATGGAACCAGAGGCACCTGACTTGGACTTAATAGAGATGTAAGAGACATGGCCAGACTTTCCTTCTCTGCCTCCTTCGCTTTCAGGTCTTGGCCAGTGGAATTCAGACCGTGGGGCTAGAGCGCATGAAATGAGTGGGGTCTGTAGTCAGATGACAAGGAAAGCATGATTCGTGCACGGAAGCACTGTCTTTCTAACCATAACATCACATTAAAATCTGCTTTCTTTTTGCCTTAAGTCAGTGATTTCGTAGTTGACAGTGGTTGGGAGTTATTTCCAGTAAAGCGTGATGGAACAGAAGTGGCACAGAGCCAGATAACACCGGGATGCTCCACAGAGCAGAGGCCTCTCAGCATCGCCTTGAAGGAAGCGATCTCCTCCGGCTCTTGCTGTGCTTTTTTAATCTGTTGTTTTTAATCACATAATCTTTTCTTAATGTAGGCTGGGTTGAAAATCTGGAGTAGTTCCTTTTCTATATAAGGTCTAATCTTGGGGTTTGTTTTTATTTTAAGAAGCATTTTTCTTATGAAATCACTGCTCATGTGTTACCAAAAATATAGACAAGGGGAAAAAAAACCCACAATCTTCTAACTACCCAGAGAGAAAACCAGTATTGATATGTTGGCCTACGTCTGTAGTCTTCCAAATCTAGTATCTAAAGGAAAAAATGTTTAAACAGAAATGACCCCATGCTATGAATTCTCTTTTATAATAGTTTTAATTTAAGAGTACAGTGTGATGATTTTTTCAGGGTGGTAGATACTTTTTACATCCTCAAAAACTGATACATTCAGTATCCGCTTAGAGGGCTCTGCATCCAGGTTGTTTTCTGTGACATGGTTGGAATGAACAAACAGCCACCACTAGCAACACATGTTATGGTTTTATAGATTCAGCAGTACCTCTAGTGATTGAATTTCATTAACTAGATAGTCAATAAATGAGAATTTTATTTACTTTTAGAATACTTTTATTTAAAAATTCACAAGGAATTGAGGGGGAAAGAAAACAGTAAAATATAAATGACACATTTTTAAGTAGTTCTTTAAAAACCTGAATCAAGCCTGTTTTTAAGACTAATTTAGTTAAAGGGCAGCTGCTACCAGCAAGAAAACAGCCCCTGTGGTTATGTTGGCCGTGCGTCTCCCCGACCACATGGGTTTTTCTCCTCTTCCTCCTGACACTGGACACTTGGTAGCTAAACCCGGGACTGGCCTTCCTGTGTTTTGCCCACAGAGAACAGAAGTGCGAAGCTGTCGGGAAATTCACCAGAGCCATGGACGACGGCGTGAAGGAGCTGCTGACCGTGGGCCAGGAGCACTGGAAGCGGTGCACAGGGCGTGAGTGCGCTTCGCAGCACCGCGGGCTCAGGCGGCAGGGCAGGCTCTGTGTTACTGCCTTGTCGCACGGCGGGGGGACCGTACCATGTAGGGACCTGAGGCCATGTCCTCCCATAGCTCTTTGATGAACCTCACTTCGCAATCCAGGTTAAACAACAGACAGTTAGTGGGTCGAACAAAGCCGGTTCAGGAACTCTTATAAAAAGCACCGCGTTTGCTTACATATTTCGTTATTTAGGGCTTCGTAATCTATGGGAAGTTAATCTTTTTTGCATGTTTAGAGAGTGCTTATGGCTATTTTTAATCTCGTGATTTTACTTTTTAATCTTCATCTGTTTGTAAGATGTTGTATATTTGACTAACACCCTCATTTTTAGGGGGAAGAACAGTGTCAGATAGCCCAGGATAGAAGCAGTGAGGTGTCCTGCTGTGGCATCCTGCCACACCATCTGCCCTGTGCCTCCCTGAGCCTCAGAAGGCTCCAGAGGCCAGACCACTGCGGCAGTAGCATCCACACAGACGGCTCTGCCAGAGAATCAGGAGTTTTCTCCCCTTTGAATCCTTCCTGCCTTATCGCCCGCACAGTCTTCTGAGTCCCAAAGGGAAAAACTGGACCCTAGTCATGGCTCAGCCACACGAATCTTGGGAGAAAGAAACTTCTCGTCTGTCACTAGAAAATACACAAATACTGACGGTCTCCAGTTATTTTTTAAAAAATAAAAAATGGCTTCTACTTTGAATTATAAAAGTAGTACGTACCCACTTTATAGTTATATCAGATACTTTGGTACTCAGCGTAGAAAGGAGGTTAAATTACCTGTTTTTGTAAAGATTTTTTAAAGGCGATATTTTGCCTCTAAATAATGGAAAAGAATCAGAATTTAAAGTAAAAAGAACCATGAACAAGAAACTGAATGTGAAGTGACTTGTGGATGAATTATTAAAATAACATAACAAACTTAATAGCAATGCTAAGGTTTATTGATCCAGACCTGAAATTTAAGCCTTACAATAGGAGTCGGTAAACTCCAGCCTGCAGGCCAAATGTGGCCTGCCGCCTGTTTTCATAAATAAAGTGCTATAGGGACATAGCCATACCCATTTATTTACTTACTGTCTCTGGCTTGTTCCATGCTATAGTGGCAGAGTAGTTTCAGCAGAAACCTGTGGCCTCACAAAGCCTAAAATATTTTAAAAGGCCTCCCACTGAATGGCCCTCTACCAGCCACATACTCTGTAACAACTAAAGGCTCTTAGCGACCAGGCTGCGCACGCCTGAGGAGTGGACACGGGGAGGAAGAACAGTGTTCCTTTCCCATGGAAAAGGAATAGAGGCCGCATCCTACATACAGAACTGCGCCTGAGCAAACGATGCATACAAATGCAGCACTAGAAAACAAGATTCCATTCAAGCCTTTGGTCACAAGGAGTAACTCATGAGCAAAAAGGGGAATGACACTTCTCTAAAATACAAATGAAGTCATTTTAGCTGCAATTCATATAAACAAATTAATTTTAGCTATAAACTCTCAGGAGGCCATATAACAAATCATTTAAATTCATATGTTCTTTGAAAGCGGTTTTCTTTTTTTTAGAAATATTTTAAATGAGTTCAAGTTTTGAAATTTTTAAAAGAATATCACAAAAATCTGGGGTTGTGGTTTCTTTGAAAGCATTAAATCCTTTATGTTTAACATCCGGTTAACTCCATGTCCTATATAACCCATAAGGCCACATTTATGAAATAGAGAATATTGGTTTAAAACTATTCTTTTTTGGGGGAGGATTGAAGCACTTTGTTTAATGTTTGATTCAGCTTTATCTCCTTTCTTTTCTCTCACAAAAGCGTTTTATAAAAATCCTTATCTGTAAATCAAGAAATTTAGCATACCCCGTTGAAGCACATGGCACATGTCTTTAACCCCAGGTATAGAGGCAAAAACTGAGTTACAAAATGGTAAACGAGCTATTAAAGTTAAACTTATATAGCGTGAATTCACGTTTCCTGAGTACTGCAATTTATGGACCGTGCTTCAGATTTCTCTGGCCCGGATTATTTTTAAAGAAACATTTGAATTATTTTTCTCCTTTAATACTACACTAATTTTTCAAATGCAAACAATGGTTTCTTTTGAAAGACAAAGATGTGATTAAAGGAACTATGTACAGATACAAAGAAAACAGCCTCAGATACAGAGACTCTTGTCTAGGAAGTTCTCCGGAGCGACCCCAGGATCCTGGCGTGTCCCACCAGGAGGACCCTGACAGGTCGCTCAGTTACTCTTCTTACAGACCCTGAAGTCCCTCCTCTCTGGTCCTGTGACATCCCCCTGCCATTTTTCCTCCACACCTTGTTGCTTTCGGTTTTGTATTGTTTCTTTTTGTTTGTTTGTTTGCAAATAACTATTCAAACATACATAACAGTGGGAAAAACAATGGATTTGGAATCACAGGTGCCAGGTCTCTTTAGTGGCCATGTGACCTGGGCAAGTCGGTTTGCTCACCTGATGCTGTCTTTCCTAACTGATGAAACGGAGGTGGTGTCTCTGCGTCGGGTAGAGGGGCCGCTGTGCTCTCCAGTGGGGTGGTCTGTGACGCACTCGGTAAGCTCGACCTCGTCTTCTAAACGAGCTTCCAGTGCACTCTGGTTTCATTTGGTGAGCGAGAATGTGGGCAGTGGTGGTGATTGTTAATAATAGCATCCACCATTAATTGAACAACCGATTAATCACAAATTGAAAAAACAATTACTATTTTTTAAAAACCAATCATTTTATTAAAGAATATAGACTATTTTGAATCACTTCAAATTTTTTTTATTATAAAAGTAATCACTTTCAGGAAATAGTTGAATCCTATTTCAGTTCGCTCAGAAGACTAGTTGACAGCTTGCTGCTTCCTCTCTTGCAGCATTACCCAAGGAATATCAGAAGATCGGAAAGGCCTTGCAGAGTTTAGCAACAGTGTTCAGTTCTAGTGGTTACCAAGGTACGTCTTTATTTTTCTTCCTTTCTTGAGGCTGTCCTTATTTTTCCAGGCTGACTGTCCTCAGGCTCTCGCAGGCAGACTGGAGCTCTCCAAGGACGCGCTCTTGACACTGACACTCAGATCCACCAGCTGCCCCACTCTGGACCTTTGCAGCCTCACCTTCCTGCTTTTGAGAAAAGTAGAGAGTTGTTATTTGTGTTTTCTTACTAGCTTCTTCGCCTTTATTTGCATAGCTCTACTTTCCATAACTTATACATAATTGGTACTTCAAAAAATGATAATCTCATTTACCTTTGGAACATGGTAGGGTATCAACTCATAATTCTGCAGATGGTAAAAAGGAATAATGAAGCATTTAACCTGCTTTTCCTAGACCTATACCTCAAGGTAACCAAAAAGTAGATGAAGTTTCCTTCATAGAAGTATTTCAGCTCATAAAGGAGGAGTGATAGAAGTGGAATAGCATCATTTTGCAAACCCGTACTAAAAAAAGATCTAAATGATCATCATCTGTGGCTTCTAACATCACACAAAATAGAACTAGAAATTGTGTCATCTGAATCTGATCAAGCCTCTAGCTCTAATGACTAGTGTAAAGAAAATACAAGGAACAAAGGACTATGTCATCACATCAGAGACAGTCAGCAAAACCCGGATCGTGGGTGCCAACACAGATGACCTGGTTTTCTTCAGCACATCCTCACAAGAAATTTACGAGGAAAGGAATGCGGGGAGGAACCTGTAGATTTAAGAAACACGTCAGCTTTATGCTATGTGGCCCTTTCCACATCCTGATTCAGTGTGATTGGAGATGCCAGGAAGCTGAGCACTGACTGATCGTTTATGTCAGAGACAGTTGTCTCGTCTTAATTGTGATATGGTATTGTCCTTATTTTTTAAAGAGTCCTTATTTTCTGGGTAAAATTTATGGATGAAATGTTCTATGGCCAGTGAAAGGAGGAAGTGGAAGTAGATGGTGTTGGTGGAAAATATATTGGCCTTGAGCTGTTAATTGTAAAGTTAGGTGATGGATAGATGGAGATTCATTCTACTATCTCTCTAGCTTTGAACAGTTCAGAATTTTCTATAATAAAATTTTTAAGTAAAGTGGATGAAAAGGCAACATAACTTAAAACCACGGGTGTAACTGTAATAACTTCCAGGTGAAACAGATCTCAACGATGCAATAACAGAAGCAGGAAAGACTTATGAAGAAATTGCCAGTCTTGTGGCAGAACAGGTAATAACCGTACAATTCCAATTTAAGATTTCAGTCTACATATTTAGTTTAAAACCTATTTTAAGACAGACTGCAAATGGATATCCTTCTCTTTTTTATTCCTATTTGTCTTTGTCAGTTGTATTTGGTAATAGTGTTTCTTAGGTTAAACTAAAGTGATGGATGAAGTTGTCATCAAGAAATCTAAAGGAATACCTTCCAGTGTTGAGGGCTCGGGTACATTCTTAGCCATCAGGGATCAGAATATACAGGAGGGAGCCCTGGCTCAAGTCCCTGTGTGACTCTTCTTTAGCCTCTCCGGGCCTGGGTTTCCTCTCCTAGCGAATGGTGAGGGAGGAACCTACCTTATAAGGAGCGCAGGATTCAACAGCCAATAAGGAGAAAGCACCTGCTCCAGTCCACATGGAGCAGGTCTTTGTCACAGCGCGTGGCGTTTACTAGCGTCTCTAGTAGCTTGTTCTAAATCCTTTTTACAGATAACAGAAGTAAGTACCTCTAAGGGGAACGACCATCTAAGTTGTTCCAAATCCCTAAGTTAAAAAAATTTTTTTCAGATGGCTTTTAAAAATGTGTTTGTGCACATGTGCCCACACATTCATGTAGTGGCATTAGCTACTTTTCTGACACTTGTAAAAAAAGATTAATTTTTAAAACTGTTAGTAACATACCTGTGAAATATTATAATTCAGCAAAATCAAAGATGTTAAAGTTGCCACTTAAAATGATTTCCAGATTTTTTATATTTTTATGTTTTCTGCTCATTTAAACATACCTTGTTTGCTTATATGTTAATATACAGTCTTAACTAGTATTTTTTTCCCTCCTGGTGTTCTACTTCGGGCCACCTCAAAATAGCTAATTTGACCAACCAACATAAAAATTATATGATGTTTTATCATTTTCTTTACAACCTGTGGTTAAGAAGATAGCGGTAGTCTTGGAGATAATTCTTTCGTAGGAAAACTAAGCTAACTGTGTAACACTCTAACTGAATGTAGTGCCTGGAGGATTTGGTTCATACAATCCACAGATAGAACAGTTTTCCTTTCCTTGATTGTCTGAATTCCTCTGCCAGTAACAACCAACCTGTGTCTTGTTAATAGCCAAAGAAAGATCTGCATTTTCTGATGGAGTGTAATCATGAATACAAAGGTTTCCTGGGCTGCTTCCCTGACATTATTGGCGCTCACAAGGTAACTTGATATAGACGTTTACAGACGACAGCACGGCCACCCACACAGGCCTCACGTCTCATCACACTCCTGAGTCAAGGGAGGCTTTCTGGAACCAGCTGGAAATGCTTGCACTGTTTAAATAGCAAGGTCCCATCACACGTTTGGACATAGAGTTTTTAGTTTCTTGTATTATGTAAGATTATTTTGAAGGAACTAAAAATATGTAAAGTATTTATGCATGTAGTTAAGTCAGGTATTCAACAAAATAATCATGGTGTTCAGAATTCAAGACAGTAATAGGAATAATCTGTCCCTTATCAGTGAGATCCTGTCAGCTGCTGGGTGCAAGTCCCCGAAGAGCCTGCCCTGTCAAGAGGAAATTAGGTTTCCTAAGTAAAATCAAAATGTCGGTGTTGATTTAATATGGTTATCTATAGTAATAACAAGGAAATGATATAATTTCCATCAAAAAGGTATTTTGTAAACCAAATAAGAAATTGATTTAGGGTGTCCTCACATTTTGATTCTGATTAATTTTTTCTGTTTCAAAATCTGTTACCTCAGAATTATAGATATTTTATCAACCATAGTTTGTTGTGGTATACTTGGATTTATTCGCAAACTCTCCACAAAGGGCTAGTCTGTGATCCTGATGATCCTGGCATGTGTCCATTGCAGCATTTGGCTTTGCAGTTAAAATATCATGAAGAGGTAGCATAGGTAGATAAGAGGCTTCGTACAGCTTCAGACAACGTAATACAAAACTCAGAACATTTTCTTTATCCATTCATCTATTGATGGACAACTAGGTTGTTTCCACATCTTGGCTCTTGTAAATTATGCCACAGTGACCATGGGAGTGCAGTATCTCTTTGAGATAGTGATTTCATTTCCTTCAGCTATATACCCAGAAATGGAATTTCTGGGAGAGTAGACCTTAAGAGTCTCATCATAAGAAAAAAAATTTGTAACTATGTGAGGATGACAGATGTTATCTAGACTTACTGTGGTGACCATTTCACAATAGGTACATATATCAAATCATTATGTTGCACACCTTAAGTTAATACAGTGTTATATGTCATTATATCTCAGCAAAACTGGAAAAACTAAAATTAGTGAAGTTAAAATCTCTGTAAATAGGAACCTCAGAATTGTTACTTTGTTGTAGGGATTCACGCAGAGTTAGAGTTCTAGGCGTAGAGCCTCACGTATGCCTGAGTGTGCCAGCTTCTTTTCCACACAGCTCCAGATAATGAGCACCATGTCGATGCTGGAGCGTGAAACGTTGGGCAGCTTTTACAGCTAATTCCATCTAAGTGTTCATTTAAATTGATTCAGTGCTTCTTATAGAAATCACAGAAGAGCTCAAGCCTTACGCTCTGCACGCCTCAGCACCGGCCTGAGATCCCCTCGCTCTAGTACAGAAGAGATGGGGGGCTGTGTGTGCCAGGCCACCCCTTATCAGATGTCTCTGTAAACCCACCGCGTCTGTTTTCCTATTGTGAGCTACGCTCATCCTGGCAGTGGCTTACAACTATCACAGAAATAGAATGTGGTTCAGTTTTCTGTTCTGTCGTAGAATAAAAATGTAAGTTTTTGCATAATTACATTTTTCAAGAATAGTAACCTTTTTGCTTCCAAGTGACATAAAGAAAATGACATTTAGATGCTTTCCCTATGTTCTTATTTTGTAGCAACATTTTCCTATTCAATAGCAGGCCAATTATAAAAGATGTTGCATTGTTATATTGTAAACTGATAGCTCATCCTTTTAGCTTTGTTTTACTGATTCCATTTCATTTTTATATTTCACAGGGAGCAATAGAAAAAGTGAAAGAAAGTGATAAACTGGTTGCAACTAGTAAAATCACCCCACAGGACAAACAGAACATGGTGAAACGTGTCGGCACAATGTCTTATGCATTACAAGGTAAGACAAAAGGTTCATGCGGAGCCAGTGGACATCATTTTCCCCAGGGCAGTTGCTATTTTCCTTGCTGGAGAGAAATCCAAATGTGACCAATAGTTAAATAAATAAGAGCTGATTTAAAATATCCTCATAAGCTTCTTGTTTGCAGGACTCTAGTGTTAATGAAAATCCGCAATATTTTACTCATTCACACATTAACCTGAATGACAACTTGATTAACTTTGCACATTTTTATTATTTCTTAGAAACATTGAAAGTTCCTTTTGAATTATTTGGAGATAGCATTTTGGCACAATGTGACTGTTAGGAAAAAGAAGATATCAATTTTTATATATTTGAGTGTTTTCCAACACATAGGAGCAGCAAATAGATTTTTACTGTTTTGGTGGACGGGTAGAATATTCATGGGCAAAGGAGAAAGGGGAAGGATATTCTAGTATGAACAAAAGCACAGAAAATAATGGTACAGGATTATGTCATTAGCCTTGGGGAATAAAACATAGCTGCAGGTTATTGGGGTGATCATGGAGGGCCTTGAAAGCCAGGCACAAGAGACTGGACTTGATGTGGGCATTGAGAAAGTCATCACAAGGTTTTGATGAGGAAAGAAAAAGGGACTGCTTAAAGGAGAAGGGTTTGCTGGTCACACGGGGTCGGTGCGAGGGGCGACGTGGGTCGGCCCGGCCCGGCCAGAAGACCCCGGCTTTGTGGTGTGAGGTATTGAGGGCCTGAGGAAGACGTGCAGTGGGGAGAGGACATTTGCAGGCCCGTCTGGGCAACAGCCTTCAGGACCAGGGCATTTGTCGGGGAAAGAGGAGACCGTGTGAGAGGGTTCCGGAACTAAGGCAGCTGGGGCAGAGTCGGGGAACCTGATGGCAGGTTTGGGTTTGGAAGGGTTTGGAATAGGGAATTTGGTATTGAACTTGCGTTGGAGGTTATCCAGATAGGTAAATGAGTAGCTTACCACTTCAGATAACAATGTGAAACAGCTTTTTTAGGCATCGATCTCACTCGTGGCTTTCTAGGCCAGAGTATAAGGGAAAAGGCAGGTGGAGGGGTGGCCAGGCGCTCTGGGAAGGGAGGCCTCTCCAGACTGGCTGGGGTCAGGGTGGTACTGAGAGACACGTTTCGATGTGGCGTTCATTTGCTGAATCGATACCTCCAGCAGGACGAGGAGCGGGTGTCAGGCCCCCTGGCCTGGTAGGAAGCGGGTTTCTAACAGCGCCCGCGCTCGTGGGTGGTGAAGCGCCAGCACCAGACTGGGCCCGCCCCACGTCTGCTCATCCACCCCGCCTGTCAGACCCTGAGAAGCGGCCTGGACAGTCTGTGCAGAAGGGACACGGCAGGTCCCCCGTAAACAGGCCTGAAGCTCTGAGCCGCAGTCGCCTGTCTGTGGAGGCTGCGCCGACGCGGTTCCCTGCTCTTACAGTCAGGAGAGTAGATCCCATTCGGGGGGTGATCTGTGCTGGGTTTCTTGGTGTTTAATGTGCAGATCAACAAAAGCCATCCACTATTGGAAAGTGGTGTTTGCTATTACCCGTTCAAATTGTTTTTCTAACCTCTTTATAATATTGAATTGGTTGGCAGTGAGTCGTAACCCAGCAGAGAGCTAGGTATTGTCGTTGGGCGTCTTGTTGGGGGACTGACTGACGTCTCGGTTTTGGTTGTAGCTGAGATGAATCACTTCCATAGTAACCGCATCTATGACTACAACAGCGTCATCCGCCTGTACCTGGAGCAGCAAGTGCAGTTCTACGAAACGGTAAGTTGCCTCCCCCCAGGCCGGCTGTGCACACACGAGGACAAGTTCATGGTCACGTACTTGGACCATATAAAGTTTATCCATTTGTATTTTTTAATCCTAAATTTTAAACCAAAAGAGGCTAACTGTTGAGCAGGGTTTATTTTAATCTTTTTAAATTGCATCTGCCTTTTTCTTTTGAATAACATTAGATAAAAAGGTTTCTCTTTTGAAGAAGGGGTACTGGATGCTGGCTGTGAGGCCTCAAGAAGCCCTATTGTGAGGTTCCTTCCCCTCCCTCACAGCCACCCTGTGCACAGGGAACACTGCTGAATGAGATGAGGTCACCCTGCCACCCATGCAGGCTCAGCTGGGGCAGGAGCCTGGCACCACACGGGACACCACAGGCGGTCTTTGTTTGCAAATGAGATTTCAGTGTACCAAAGGAATCGCAGGACGAAAATGCCAGAGAGACAGTGAAACCTTAAATATTTTCATTCCAAAAACTCAGACTTTTTTTTTTTTTTTTTACCTCTACGTAGTCATTTCTTTATTCAGTACAGTGCACAGAAAACAGCGCTCCAGTGTGTAAATGGAAACACAGACATCTGAAGACAGGTAACTTCAGAACCGACCAGGCGCTCGCTGCCATGTTTCTTACTAGTTCTTCAGTGTTCCCATGGTACCAACATGTCTGTTCAGGGATAACAGTAGGGAACCTCAAATTCACATCCATGCACATGTTGTCTTTGGGCTCGACACTGCCGAAATGTCTGTTTCTGACAGCAAATTCTTGAAAGGGAGCTGTGATTGATGTGTTTGATGCATATTGTGAATTGTGTGTTGGAAACGGTTTCGGAGACAAGTCTACAGAAAGAATTCAGGAACCAGCAGTTCCCCCTCGCAGGGTGCGGCTCCCGGGGTCGCTCCTGCACGCTTCTTCCTTCACTGGTGCCGCTTGATGGTCGCCTTTCACCAGGTGTTAGAAGAGATTACATGGACGCGGTTCCACGGTGTAGCGGTCAGCACGTCTGCTCTACACGCAGAACGTCCTGGGTTTGCGTCCCAGTGGAGCCACAGTCCATGGTCTACGGCCATGCCACCCTGAACAAGCCCGATGTCTGATCTTGGAAGCTAAGCGGGGTCGGGCCTGTTCAGTACTTGGATGGGAGACCACCTAGGAAGACTGGGTGCTGTAGGTGTAAAAAAATAATAATAATAAAATAGATTACATGTGTGAGAAGGTGATCGAAGAGCGGGTCTTGAAATACTGATGATGTCGATGTGTTAAATAATTCTCAAGCCCAAGATTTAACTATTAATGACATTGTAATTCAAAATAGGAAGCTATGTATTTAATCACTGATTTTGCAATACCTAACATAGTTTTATGAATAACCCTTAAATTATTAAAATACACATATTTGTTCATGGAGCTAACATTTGTTATTATATACTACGCATGTATTTTAAGTGCTTAGGATCCAAAGGTGACCAAGGCATGTCCTTGGAGAGACACAGGCTCATCACCATAACTGCAGAGCCACGGTAGCTTTATAATGAGGGCGCGCACTGTCCTCCTGACGCTGGAGCAGAGGGCGTGCTCGTCGACGGGTCTTAGGTGGTCACAGGTGTCGGAGAAGGCAGGCGGACCTGGGCAGGCACGCAGACCGAGCCTCCTGCCTCACTGGGGGAAAGCGGGCAGTCCAGAAACGCCGCTGTGGGAAGAAGCGGACACTTCCTGCAGGCCATGGCACCACCGTTGGCAACATGGGCCAGCCTTTAAGAAGGTCTTTTGGGCAGCAACGTGGAGGCTGGGCTGGTGCCAGAAGAGACTAGATGCGTGGACCCAAGTGTTTGAAATTGTGATGTTTAACTCATAAGAGATGAAAATTGTGATGTTTAACTCATAAGAGATGAAAATAACAGAATACTATGAAGTTGTAATAGGAGTGCTATCTCAATGTTTTTTGTTTTTTTTTCCCCACCAGATTGCAGAAAAGCTGAGGCAGGCCCTCGGCCGCTTCCCGGTTATGTAGAACAGAACGGAACATGAAGAAAACTCCGAAGTGCTTCTTTCTGACTCGGGGCAATGCGATTTAATTTCTCCCCCCTATCCAAAAGAGAAAGAAAGAAAGAGAACCAAAAAGAAATATGAGTTGCGAAAAACTGTGTTTAAATGCATCAGTTATATAGTCTTTCTACATCCATTATTTAAACCAATGGAAATTGTCTCTATTTTGGGAAAGTACTTAAAATTATCAGAATTTTGAGTGGAAAATTAGAGGTTCCTCCCACTGATGTTTTATATTAAATTGTAATTTATAAGTCACCCACAATTTTCCAGTTCTTGCCCAGTGTCAGATAATTACTAATTGCTTTCTTAAAAATATGAACTATGCCAGAATAAAAAATATATGTTTGTATATTTTTATAATTCCTTTCAAGCCTTTGAGATTCCTGTCTGTTTAGGAAAATCTACCTGCCTTTCACTGACATATTTATGACTCAAGTGCTTACGTTTTCAGGAGAGGAAGCAAAGAGGCACCCTCATGTGCCTGTCATTGGGCCTCACAGGCCTCACATGTCCGAGGACGCCGCTTGGCAAAAGCTGATGATCAGGTTCCCCTGCTCCCTCCCTCCACCCCCACCCCACCCCGAAGTCTTCCACGAGGAGCGCTCTCTGTCCTCGCACGTCTTTCCTAAGCATGGCACGCTGTGTGCTAAAAAGAATAAAGTTGGGGACATTTGTTTCAAATGCTCTGTCTCTGTCTCCGGGGATGGAGCGTGCTGACATCAGTGCTCAGGAGAGAGCGCCCTGGGGACAGACAGGCCCCTCCAGAGCTCGCCACCCGTTTTCAGTTCTGATTGTAGACGAGTGGGCCACTCGGTATTATCCGAAAAGACGAAACACGGTTTCATGAACCTCTCCCACCCCACCTGGTGGAAGAGCCTAGGGACCCACCAGGGTGGCAGCCTGAATGACATGCGGTAAGCCCCAGAGCCGTCGTGTTTAACTACAGCAGGATGGTCTTCCTGACTGGAACCTAAACTTCAGACAGACCTTTCCTGGTCACTAGCTGTTGGAACTTTCCTGATCACTAGTACTTCAGTTCATGGCGTAAAGCAGAGCGGAATCTGCAGAGCCGCAGCTTTAAGTCTGAACACTCGCAGACACACTGTCCTCCCGCGGACGAGTGTTTCCGCCTTCCTCAGTGGCCTTACTGCGTCATCTTCACTGCTTTTGTTTTTTGGACCTGATAATTATATTATAGAAAACGGGAAGTTTGGGCCAGCACAAATGAAGTGAAGCCAAAAAATAAGTAGAAGAGGAAATCAGATGAGCACGAATATGAGAACGTCTCGTTCTTTAATATCACGGGTTCTTGTTAATGTTTTTTAAGTAATTTTCCCTACTCGATTTTTCTTTTATAAAATCTCATAGAACAGTGTTTATGATACAGCCATTTAATATATGTACAAATTGTAAAGAATATGTATAAATATTTTACACAAATGTAAGCATGTAGAAGCCAACATATAATTGTTTTAAAAAACTGTACAGTAAATTCTCAAAGCACTTTTTCAAAACACATTTTGATGTTTCTGTGTGATTTTTTTTTTCCTTTTTTCTTTTTTTTTTGATAATTGCTTCTTGTTGCCAGCTACTGAAAACAGTCCCCTTGGTGCCATAGCACAGGTTGGGAGAGAAGGCAGGATAGCTGAGTGGGGACCGTGGGCGTTGTGGCCACTTCTTCCTATAACCTTCCTGAGCTTCCGGGGCCTGCTTGGGCTGGGGCACACAATTACCGTCCCATCCGATGATGGAGCACTGCCCTGCACGCCCAGCTGCGTGGCTCGGGTCAGGTAACGCCCGTCATGACGGACAGCTCAGGTCGCACTTGGTGACCGGTGGTTAAGCATCAGTCTCTGCTGAGGCCCAGCAGCAGAGCCGTGCAGAGGACGGCAGGGCTCTGCCCCCCGGTCCTGAAGGCCTGCTCTGAGGTTCCCCCACGCAGCCTGCCAAAGGCTCCAGCTGGCATCCTGGTCTGCCGCCGCCTCACGCACATTGGAGCTGCGGTCAGCAGGGGGCAGCACGCACGGCAGCCCGGGCTTGTTGCTCCTTATGGCCCAGCGAACCATCGCACCCAGTGTCTGCCTCTCAGATGTTCCGCTCTCACTGGTCTGAGGAAGGGGCCGGGAAGATGAACGAAGTCTAAGAAGATGACCTGGGAAGCCTCACAGCCGGCTGTGAGCCGGGGAAAGTAAAGTGACTCTGGAAGACGGTGGCCGTTATCCACTGGGTGTCGCTCTTTGGAATACTGTCCTCCGAGTGGCAGAACTTCAGTGACCTAGTGTATATGTCATTCTCTCCGGGTTCCAACACACCATGTGGTTCTTGTCTGTTGATGTCCTGAGTTGTAACCATTTGTCTCCACTGTTAGATATCGCAGAAGAGCTAGAATTATGGAATGATTAAGGATTTTTACAAATCTTGACGATGTAGAAATAGCGGCTAAGTATTCGGAGAGATTAGCCTAGAGGGTGGCAGAGGAACTCAGGCCAAAACGCGGCACTTGGACCAGGCAGCAGGACACGGGCTGTTACGGTCGAGTTTCTCCACTTGTTCTTTGGGGGTATGGTTAGGAGTGATACTTATTGTAAAAGTATATTTTCCTGAGTTTTTAACAAAATGAACTTATAATGCAAAATCATTTACTCTGTTAGAATGATTAGTTCCCCAAGCCATCCGTTCAGTGGACAGTTGTTAGGTTCCCTCTGCACGTACGAACCTCAGTCCGTGCCGTTCAGTCCTCCCCGTGACGGAGGACTCACCAACAGTTCGAGGACGACCTTCCAGTGAAGAAACCATGGGTCGTATGAAGAGATGTGAATTGTGAGTTGGAGTTCTGGGCTGCGGTTGCAAGGCTGTCACCTTGAACAAGTCACGTAAGCTCTCCTGACCTCAGTCCCTCATCCACAGAGTACCAGGACGAGAACAGAACAGATGTGTCCTTGAGCTCGTTCCAGCCCTGGGACCCTTACAGGAACAGAAGAGCAGGGCTGGGGCTCAGGCCCATGGACACCTGGTTTCCTTCAGGGGGCTCCCCCTCTCTGATACAGCCACTCCTGGCGCTGCGTCCCACGTGACCCCTAGAGGACATAGTCCCAGTGAGTTTAAGGACAGGGCAGGGCGTGCCCCAAAACTTTCTATTTTGATCACTCGTCAGCCCTGCCAATTCAGAAGTAGGACCTGGCCCCCATATCACCCAGCTGCTCGAAGGACATCTCCCCCGGCAGGCCATACAGGTAGCTTAGGAGCACCTGCGACCCAGGGCAAATGGGACAGACACCCCCCTTTTCCGCCATAACCTTGTTGATTGGAAGGTGACCAATAAACACGAACTGACTCCCTCGGCAGTTTGTGAGGCGAGGTGCGGCTGCCAGCTCTCCTGCAGTAATCCTCGTCGCTTCACAGTGGGGAAATGAAGTCCACGAGTAGCACCGTCTGCTCCAGGCCTTGTAAATTCAAGCACTAGTATTTACGGATTTCTTTTACCTTCACAAAATGATGAGCCTCTGAAATAGCGAGGGACACCTGTGATCTTTGTCCTTCCCACCGTGGGCGTTAGTTGGGCTACAGGAAGGGAGAACGGTCCTCCGCAAGGTTTTTAAAAGTTAAACCACAAGCCCTTTGGCTTGCGAGATTCTGTCGCCTTCCCCGCTTCCTCAACAGCACGGTCTCAGAAAAATCCCCAAATCATCTAAGAGACTCTCTGAGCTTATTATTTGAACATTAAATCCATATCGTGTGATGTCCTGTGGCTGGAAAGTTAACCTAAAGCATGTGACAGACCCAGAGTGAGGCCCAGGGCCTCGTTCAAATCGAGTCTCTGTGCGATTCGATGGCGGCCGGGGGCTGCTCCGCTCCCTCTTCTGGGCCTGGGGGCACGCTTGCCCACTTCTCACTCCCGGTTTGCCCCATCCAGATTATTTTCCACATTGATGGCTTTCTGATCGGCACCTGTATATCTTTGGTGGTCAGATGTTAGCGGTTTTCTGTTTGGTTTCTTAGTCATCAGATGTAAGTAATTCTTGACTGAAGAAGTAAAAGGGCAGTTAATGGAAAGGTTAGGAATGGGGCGCATCCAGAACCACCTGCAGCATATTAGCTCTGTCCAGGTTACCTCGCTCACCGGTTCCTTCCCACACAGGTGAAGGAACCACCTCGGGTTAAATGCAGTTCACTCCTTCATGTAATAAATGTTGGCTACTGGGATTATCGGTTCATCTGGATCTCAAAGAATGCTATGCCTTAGCCTCAGAGGACGAGGGTCAGCTGAAGGGACAGCGAGCAGACCATCGAGCAAGAAAAGCAGGCTGGAGACAACTGAAGGCAGCACAGCAGGAGCCACAATGACCTGAGCGGGTTCCATCCAGGCTGACAGTCGGCCGTTTTCCAGGAATAATCAAAGCCGTGACTGGGTTTGCATGTTAATGGCTCCCTCTGGCTCCAGACGGGAGAATGGATCATGGCGGACGAGCTTAAGCCCCTTTCTGAAGGCCCTGCCATATTATGGTGCCCGTATTATGATGTCCTCACACCCTGGGTGGTGACTATGTGACCAATTTCCAGTCCTGTGTGCGTTTGGGGAATTGTCTGGCCTGTTGGTTTCTGGTGCTTGTGTCTCTACCGTCATGTGTCCTCACATAAAGACATGAAGCACTATCCAGCCAAAGTCTTGTCTTTCTAGGGGACTCTCCTGCAGATCTTCAGAACCAAACTAACTCCCCCTTCCCCCCTTTCCCACCACTCCCCGCCTTCCCTCTCTCCTTTCCCTTCCTGCTCCTCCACCCCCCCCCTTTGTCCCCTCCCTTCTCTCCTGCGCTTCAAATCCTAGCCACCTTACTCTCCCCGAGCTGATCTGTCTCCTTAACTCAGACCACGAAACTATTTGGTTTTCCACCTCCGTCTGGGCCTGGAATCTGCACTCACACAGTAATTGGGCCGTCATGGGGCTCCCCTCATTCCTCTCGGTGATCAAAGTCCTGCAGTGCCTGCTGTCGAATGTCTGAAACCATTTTCATATATATTCTCTCTCTACTTAAGGAGAGTAAACTGGCCTGTATCATCACGGCAGGAAGTGGACAGCCTATCAATTTTTTAAATCTAAGGTGGGGGTAGTTTTCACAGAAAACATCCGGGCACACATATTCTTCAAAGTTTAATTTTCAAGTATGTTCCAAGAGTCTCTGCAGCAGACATTGCAGCTTTTATCATTTGGTTCTCATTTCCTCTGGGCTCCGCGATGGACTGTGCTTTCCCATCTCCATAAAATTAGTCATCACCATGTGACATTCTTTGGCCAAAGAAAGGAGTTGGAGCAACGCGTGCACCTCCAGGGGGAAGCATGTGATTGCTGGCGCTCGCTCTCCAGCCCTTCCCCTACGGTGACAGTGGAGTCAGTGGTGACATAAAGGAGCTGAAGGGTTCAAGCAGCTGAGAACTGAGCCAACACACTGGGGAGAGACAGCCTGGAGAGCTCCTGGGACCACAGCAGATTATGCATGAGCAAGAAATAAATGCCTGCCACGCTGAGCCACTCAGATCTGGAGTTGTTCCTTAGGCAGCTCAAGCTGCACCAGCCTGTCCTGACTGCTGTAGTCCCCCTGGTGGCCGAGCCAGAGTCTGCGTTCACCCAGACCCCGAACAGGTGTCTGAAAATATGCTGCCTTAGTGACGCAGGAGTATTTGAAAATGTACCATTTGGAAAACTATCAACCCACAAGAGGAAGCAAAACGAAACAAAAATTTATAAAAGCAAACCATTTTTGTGAGACTGAATTCTTTTGTTGATGTGTTGAAATCACTTCCAGATGGATCAATCCATTGCAATTCAGAAGGGTTTATTCCTCCCTCCCACACGTCTTAACGGAACGGAAAACAAATTAGCATGAATGGCAGGCACTACCTACACCAGGAGAACCCGCCCTGGTGAGTTAAAAAGGTCCTTTGAGGAGCCCTCAGTTCTTGATCCCCGTCTTTTGCATGCTGTTAGCTCTGCATTTCCTGGTGCCCTCCACATTTCTTTGTAGTTAAGATTAATTTCCAACCACCCCTAGAGGTACTTTTGTTAGCAGCTTCTTCTAACTTGCTTCTGAAATGGGAATTCTTGGCCTGTGGCCCATGTAGTACTTGGGTGTGTGTATCAATGAATCCCATGTGGTCATAGGCAAGTAATTCTTTTGCCTATTTTTACTTTTTTTTTTCCCCTGGGGAAGGTGTATCTTTCATCAGATTTTTAAAGGTATAGGTGACTCATTAAAGGGTCACTCTTAGACGTCAATATCCTCACCTAACCAGACTTTTGTTAACTGCATCCTGTTCTTTTTCTTGTAATTGCTTCTCCTTCTCTCTCCTTTAATAACGCAGGAGCTAAAGGGATGTCCCGGACGGGGAGAGATGAGTCATTGCACAAGTGGATGGGAAGTCGTTTCCAGTGAGTCCTCGAGGCTTCCAGCTGATGCCCCAGGCGGGCTGTCTGAGCGACACGGTATTTTAATACGTGCCATCACTGTGAAAAGCACCCAAGAGCTCTTTATGCTCAGAATGGCTGTGCTGAGTGCGGCAGAGGGAAGATCTCTCACCTTTTGGCCAAAGGAAGGAGAAACGGGAAGGGATGAGCCGTGAGGGGAAAGGCAAGCAAGCCCTTCCTCCGAGAGGTGTGTTTCCCTTCAGAGCCGACCGTCCTGTGTGGCTCCGTGTGGGGTTTGACGTTTTTGTATGAAGGGTTTTGGAAAGAACGGGAAAAGTTGTGGCAGAGAACCAAACGAGAAGGCAGAGAAAGTTGTACATATCCTCACCACTTCCTGAAGATCTTGGCCCTAACGGGCAGAGAAAGCTTATTCAACTAATTATGAGCAAAGCTTCCGGATGTGAAGAGCACGAAAACACCTGGCTGTCTAGTCCCTATTACTGTCTAGATAGATACGTGCAGGCACCGGTGGTATGGGCGTGGAAGGCGGGAAGGAGTTCAAGGCTGAAAACAGCTCAGTCACCAGAGACACTCAGCTCACTCCGGGAGACCTAGCTGGAGCCAGGCATGGAGTCATTGCAGATTTTTAAAATCTAATACGTTTGAAAACAAACTATAAGGTATTTTTGTAGTGCCAAAGCCATGTCCTCGTTGAGAATCAACGCCTCTTTCAACGAGGGGTCCTTTCGGAAGCTGTAAAGGGACTCAGAAGTGACAAGGACAAGCTAAGTGACCTGGGATAACAGGTCCTTTTTGATTTTTATTGTGCTCGGTAAACTCTGGGACATCCTCTTTCAGTTACCATTTTTGGTACATCTTAGCTGGATTTATGTTCGATCTTGAGGTTAAAACAGACACAGAGCTGGATCCGCAAAAACGCTGTAATATTTTTTCAGCCGCTGTCAGCTTTTTATTTCCCACCCCTTTTCGTCCATACTCCCTGAGAAATATGTCCATGGGGACAGTGACAAGTGGTCTCATTTCCAGAGCTGTGCCGAAAATACTAACGATCTGTGCCTGAGTCAACGGCACATGAGGGAACCTGAATCCGTTAGCTACGTGGTGCAAAAATAAGTTCTCCCAGATAGAATAAAACACGAAACCAGAGCAGAGCGTACCCAGCAGACAAACACGGGGCGAGGCGCTGGGACCGCTGTCTAATAGCACGTCCGGTTCGGGCTCTGGTGTTCTCGTGAGCAAATCAGAAATCGTTCCTGTCCTCCCATGCCGCCAGGTTCGCCTTCAGAGGAAGTACATGAAACGTGGGAAAAATTAATTGATAACCGTTGCCAAGGCAGCATCGAGTCCTGTGCCCAAAGAACAACAGTGATGACCAGATGCTGGCTGCGAAAAGACAGGGCAGACACTGCCCGCCATCCAGCCCCAAACCCGTTAGTCCCCAACCGCTTTCTCAAGTGTCCGTCTCAAATGAAGAGACGGGGAAAGTGGGTGGACGGTGGCCAGGAGGCGCCGCTGTTTCTGCGACGGGTGACGCCAGAGAACTAGAACGGCACTCGCTCGCTTTCCTCGCCACCGGGAGAGAAATGACCGCCCACCCTGCCGGGCGGCCCCGCTTCCCTGGGCTCCTGGCTGCGGACGACGGAGAATGCGGAGCCCGCCGCGTGGATTTTAACCTCGTTGATCTCATCCTCCAGCTCCTCCGGTGGCTGCGGCTGCTCAGTTTGTGTTACGTTACCGGTACCTTGTGCATCAGCGTTTCGATTCTAGAAATGAAATTTCGATTCTGGGAATGAAAGACAGTGGCATGTGTCATCCGCACGGCCGTTTGCCAGGGTCCCCAGGCGGGTGTTCACGCGCCTTGGTTCCCTCACTCGGCAAGGACTCATGGAATGCCAGGACTGGGTGTCCAACGGTCACGACGGACACGTGGCCCCGGCTTCCTGGAGCCAGTGGGACGGCGGGGGCACACGTGGTGGCGGCGAACACGTACGTGGTGCCGGGCGCCGCTCCATGCCCTTGACTTATCAACGAGCTTCCTTCTCACAGCTTGTCCGCATGAGACGTGAAGAATCCGAGGCACCGAGAAGTTAGGCAAATGGCTGGGGGTCGCCCAGTGTGGAAAGCGGAGCCGGGACTCAGGCCCAGGCCATCAGGTTCTGGAGTCCGGCGTTGATCTGCAAGATTCTGAGTGAAGGCGACCAAGGAAAGCACCGACGTGGGAAGGATTCAGAGGGGAGAGAACAGGGAAATGCGCATCCCTTTGCAGGGTCCTACGTAGGCTGGGGAAAGATTGCTGAGAGGGACCCAGCCAGTGGACAATGGCATTTTGAGTTGGGGCTTGACATACAGGCACGGGACTAAGCAAGGGGAGCATGCCTGGAACTCGGGGATGAGGAAGGAATGGAGGCCGGCGGGTGGGAGGACAGGGCAGCAAGAGCGGGGACCTCGCCCAAGTGCATCAGGGACGGGACTCGCCATGCGTGCTATACGGTGGGGAGAGGAAGCAGGGCAGGTACTGCCAGAGTCCAGTGGCGGGGTGGTCACAGTGGTCAAGAGGAGAGATGGGCCCAGGTGATGTTTACCTGTATTTGGTGTAGAATCGAGAGTCAGCTCCGCACAGATATTCCCAGCTTGCTTCTAACTCCCCTAAACAGTGCCGGAAACCCCCCCACAATCTGGCAGAACGGCTTCGTTTTAAGTTCGTAATCTCAGAAGGGCCACAGTGAGAGGGGGCGTGGGTGGAGGGGGGTCTCCTCTTTAGGGCGGGGTACACTAGAGCACACCTGTAACCTGACGGGAATGATCCAGGAGAGAGGAAGAGATGGGTGGGCATATGGGAAGGAACAAAGTCCTCGGGGAGGAAAGATGGGTGGGGTCCCAGCATGTGTGGAGGGAAGCGGGAACTGGTCCTCCATCACTGCCGGGAAGACGACGATGCGGGAGGTTCAGTGAAGGAAGATGAGGGCTCCTCTCTCTCAGGGAGGCGTAAGGCCAGGAAGGCTGCCGAGGGCGGGAATGTGTGATCAAGGAGCAGACGGCTGAAATAACTGTCTTAGAGAAAATGAGTTTAACCATGTAACTGTCTCAGGCAGCGAAGCTCTGAGATCATGAGGTTAAAAGTCACAGGCATCGTAGCACCCAACTGTGGTCCTGAAATTCCTTTTTCCACCAAAAAGAACCAGGGCTTCTTGGAGAAATGATTGGTTCCGGGTCTTAGGAGCAGAAAATGTACAAGATGGGGCTGGTACTGTCACACCAGAAGGCAAGGAACAGATCAAAGGCCACTGGAGTCATGTGAAGAAAACCAGGCGCCAACTCGAAGAGGTTCCCGCTGGCCAGAGAAGGTACATTTTGAGCACCAGAAAGGCTAGAATTACAGCGGACTGGACATCGAGTATGTGTACATCCAAATATGAGTTCACAAGGGGAAAAAAAAAGTAAAAACAAAAACAAAAACAAAAAACAACCCAACCCAAAAACTAATTGGTCCCCATTGGAGGACATCAATGGACAAATTCACTGAGTTCAAAATGAAGAGAATCCAATTCTACTTGTTTTGTTTATGTCACCGTTGGGAATTTTCTGTTTCTGGAAGAATTTTAGCTACAGATGAAGAAGGAATGATAGAACATAACAGTTTGGGGGAGGGTGACGGCACGGGTGAGCGATGGCTGCTACATCACAAGGAGGGACAATCAGACAAGTGCTTCCTGAGCATCCCCGACCCCCACGCAACAGAATCTGCCCGAGCTCCTGCACCCAGCCTCCGAGCTACAGATAATACAAAGGGCGAAGGAACACGCTAAGAGACACCACAAGGGGCACACTCAGCAAGTCCAGTCTGCAGGGGAGTGCCGGGCACACGACCTGGTTTTTACAATAAGCAAATCGCAAAGAGGAAAAGAAAAAAAGAAATGGGAAGAAAATCAATCTATTAACAGGGGCTTAAGAGACACATCGGTCACATTATGGAAGGACTACTTGTATGATTCCTACACACACGGTGGGAAGCAACTTATTTTATGAGACAATTGGAAAGATGAACTCTAACTGAACGTTTGGTAATATTAAATAATTACTGCTTAGAAAAATGACACCAATATGCAAGGTTATACGATTTCTCCAGTAGCATTAGGGACTCGGAGGGAAGGGAGAGAAAGGCCACGTGACAACGTCGTGGGAGGTCGCAGTCTGAGCAAACGAATGAACGAGTTCACCGATGAGCTGAGGATACTGGGTTTTTGCCTTCAATAGTCACCGTGTTAATATCTAATGAAATATCATGTGTAAAAAAGTACTCTGAAAAATGGTGAAATTAGGGCTAGAAATCTTTGAGAGCCAGCAGCGAGCACACACAGAGACGCAGTCAACACACCGTTTGCTGATGGGGCGACTTGCTTTGCCATCCTTATGGCGGTCATATTTTTCTCAGCCCTCAAAAGGGGCGTGTGAACGAAAGGGTGGTTTCTAATTTGTGGACGTATTTAGACGAGAACTCTTGTTAAAGTCATAATTAGTTGTACCTTTAAGGAATCCCTTTTAAGGAAACGACAAAGGTCCATGAAATTGAAGGAACCCCGAAAATCCTCCGCGTCATCACCTTCATCAGCACCACGTGCTCAGAGCCTGATTAGAGGGTTTTGTCCAGCATGTTCACTGCGTTGTCGGAAGTGGGGAAACTGGAACGCGGACCAACGCGATGGGGACAGGAGGCACGAGGTGTGGTCACAGGCTTTCACTGCGTTGTCGGAAGTGGAGAAACTGGAACGTGGACCAACAATGGTGACCGTGTAGTCAGCGATGGGGACAGGAGGCACGAGGTGTGGTCACAGGAACCTGGAGTGTCACCAGGAGACGCGAGGGCGTCATGGTTCAGAGTCAAGGTCTCAAGTTTATTGCAAGCTTTTAATAATCCAAAATCAATAACTAGATCCTCGGCCATACAGAGGGTCAAGCGAAAAACAAAAGAGTCTTAAAAAGAACTATCCCACCCCATCCATCCTCCAAAATCGCTCTTACCGGGGACAGCCGTGACGCCACACAGCCAGACCCAAAGGTCCTGTCTTCATCCTCCTGGCCCCATCTCAGCCTTCGCCATCATTGATGCCATCTGCTCCTTGAGACACTTCCTCTGCCTTAGACCCCCGGACACTGTTAACTGCCGGCTGAACTCCTACCCCATGGACCTCTCCTCTCCCCAGCGCACATGCGGTGGCCGGAGCACCCCCGGCTCAAGCCGCACTCCCCCCGTGCTGAGCAACACTCAGCCCTTGGTGAACCCAGGCAGGCCCTTGGCTTTAAACGATCGGGTTGCTGACCGCCTCCACGTTTACGTCTCTGCCCAGGGTGACTCTGCCAGGAGAGACGAGGGACAGCTGGTGCGAGGTGCTGCCTGGCGGGAGGTTACACGCTTCTCAGAGACAAAGACTGGTCCATGCAGTCAGGCCACCTCCGGGGCCGGCAGGGCTGCATCACAGTTCAGCTTCTTCATTCTCCCTCGGGCAGTGCTGGTCCCCACGAGTCCTCAGCTCCGGGTCTGTCACAGGGAACCAAGCCGAAAACCATGGGGAGGCCGACGGTGGCCAGCAGAGAGCGTCTCAATCCTGTCAACTCTACCTTCAGACCCTGGAGAGCTTCGGGACGGAGAGCCCACAGGATTGAGACATTTTCCTTCTTCCCTAAAGAAGAGCCAAACCGAAGATCCGCCGAGGCTGCCCGCTTCGGTGTCTGTTCTCTCTCGGGACCAGGGACCTGAACACCACAGCCGACGTTCTGGGCCCTTCCCGCTCTCTCGACTCCCACTTCTGCTCACCGGGAGCTCACCGCGGGCCAGGACCCAGGGGGTGGCACCTCCTCCCCTCTCCACCCTGCCCCGCCCTGTCCCCTTGGCCCCCTCCTCGCTGTCCCGCCCCCCTCGGAGGAGCGGGTCCTTCCAGCGTTTGGGGGCCTTCCTTTCTCACGTCTGCAGACAGCATCCTTCCCACGCAGCATCATCTTCGGCTCTCCTCCCCATCCTTCTGCTGCTCGCCCGCTGACACGTGCGGGCCTGGCCCGTCTTAGAAAGGCCGCGGCCGTCCCCTCTGCCTGCCATCGCGTGCAGTGTGTTTCTCCCAGCCAGGCTCCTGCAGCGCGCAGATGTCCGCGTCCCTCCCTTAATTCTTTGCAAGCTGACCTTTCCGCCCAGCCCTCTAACACCGCCGCCCGCTCCAAGGCCACCGCCACCTTCTCACCGACCCGCAGTTCTTTTCTGAGTCCTCATTCTTAGAGACCTTTCTGAGGTTTTCAAACCACTGACCACTCCCTGCTTCCAGAACATTCCACACCCAACACTTGGCTCCTCTGACCTCTCAGGCTACTTCTTTCCAGTCTTTTCCTCCCATCCCTCCCAGGCTCGGACACCGGCCGCCTCCTCTAGCCTGTCTCCACTCCCCAGCAGAGACCTGTTGCCCGCACAGCCTGCTCTTCGCTTCTGGCTTTTCCCACTGGGGGACCCTCCTCATCTGACACCCAGCATGACCCAAACCCTTCCCGCTTCCCCACCCCCGGCTCCTGTCTCTGCTCACACCAGCCTGCTCTCGAGGTCTCCTGTCTCTGTGGTGATGCCACCGCTGTCCCAGTCCCTAAACACCGAGCTCCTTTCTGGGTCCTCGCTGTCCATTTGGCCTCTCGTGGAATCAGGTGTCACGTTCAGCTTTTCACTAGTTGCCAAGCTCTGCACCGTTTCTCTCTCTGCTCTGAGGACTTCCCGGGCTCCTTGGCCCCCCGAGGCCTGCGTGATTCCCCACCCCACGGCCAAGTTGAATTTCCTGCAGTGGCCTCCTCCGGGGGCTGACGGAGCTGGCCTTCCCTTCCTCCCTCACCTCCTCCCTTCCAATCGTAGGCCTTCAGGAGCTCCACATCTGGGAGGCAGGGGGTGGCTGTCCCCAAACTGGTTCCACTCGGGAAGGTATCGGAGCTGACCATTTCTTGAACGTCTCAACATCAGTTACTTTACCTGCTAAACGTGCCAGTATCCAGTGATCCCTGGCCTATCAAGGTGGTGTGTCTGTAAGGTTGGCGCATCCTCTGCCATCCACGTTGACAGCCCCGCTTCAAACCAGAGGGCAGCTCCCCGAAAACCCAGCAGGATCTTGGCTCATTCAGCCCATTCTCAGAAACAGGGGAACAGCTGCTCTAGTTCACTGGGTCTAAGATGCACATCGTAACATTGCTGAGATCAGGGCATAGCTCACAATTAAATATTTTAATCGGCAGCAGTTTTTCTTCCTCAGTGGTGGATAAAATAGTGGTTCGTCTTACAATTGATTGTCTTGGATTCTATAAGCTGTAAAGCTTGAGTGCTGGTCTTGATTGTAGGAAAATTTCTAAAATATGCACAGCATGGCACTGCACAGAGCTTTAAATAATGCGATGTCAGGGAAGACAGGACAGAGGACAAAAGATATAATTAAAAAAGACTTGGTCCCCTTCCTAAGATCTTACACCTAATTTGAGAAACAAGAGAAAAGAAATACAAAAACATTTCTCAAGCAGCACAGGAGCAAGCGAGAGTCGAAGTCTACCTCTGTGAATCCGCGTCTATATAAACCCTGTTATCTGGAACCTCCGCATTCCGAGGAGCTTGGAGTCTGAAAGGGAAAGTGGGCCAAAGGGACACTGTTCTCATGAGCAAGTAACATCCTTGTGTGGACAGCTCATGAGCATCGTACCTGGGATACTTGGCACTTCTTAACTGGGTTTGTGAGCAAAGTGTCAGAAGACTCGAGAATGATTTGACTCTGTCTGTTGTTCACGTTTTTATCCTCTGAATCATCACCTGGGAGGTTGTCCACAGGGGATCGAATGTCTGGTCATTCCTGGCCATTCCTGAATGCCTGCAAGGGCGTCACCGAGTCCTGCTTGGCACTGGGGTCTCTGCTCCTTCTGGAACGTGCCCAAGGGACGAGTGGCTGGACCCATGGCTGTCTTCTCAGTGTGAGCAGAATCCGGGAGGAGAGGAACCAGGCTGGTTTGGGAGCCTGATGGAAGCACCCCCATGGAGGTCCCTGGGGGCTCTGCACACACAGCACTACGAGAGAAGAAATGTCCCAAACCACCGGAAGGGCCATTCCAGGGAAAGCCTCTCCCCACGCCCCTCCCCTGCAGGTGAGTCCTGCCAGCCGGGCGGAGGGGCCCTGCCTCCTTGTACTTAGCTGGGAGGTCATCCTGGGTGGGGCCACCTACCCCAGCGGATGCTGCACGGATGTGTGCCGGTGTTCACATGCGTGAGCACAAACTGGTTTGTCGTAGCATCTGCCCTTAAGTCCGGGACTTTACTCACCAGAGCAGGAGGAGGGTTTGCGAGTTGGAGGGCGAAGGGCACCGGCGGGGGGAGGGGAAGAGCCGCCCACGTCGCGCCCGCCCCCGCCAGCGCCTCACAGTTGCCCCTGCTCGTCGATTCCCAAGCTTCCAGCCCTTCGCTCCTCTGACCCCGGCCCCGTCCTGTGAGGGCGGTGGGGGTCGGGTGGACAGGTACGGCCGTGGGGAAAGCGGGCTCAGAGAAGTCAAGGTCACCTGGGAAACGGCAGCTCCAGAGAGATCTCAGCTCCCTCCGAGACAACACACCCTCGATCTCCGAAATTTCTGCCGGGTGTGGACAATGGACCGCGGTCCCCGCACGTATAAAAAGCTAGTAAAAGGCAACGTTTTTCGAACACTCGCTAAGCCCTTTCCGCGCGAATTGACTCGACCCTCCGCAGCCTCACGACGCAGGCCCCGTTACTACCCGCGCTTTACCTGCGAGGCCGCTGCGGCGGAGCCCAAGGGACCCGCCCGGGGACGCAGAAGTGGACGGAGAGGGAGGCGCAGCCCCGTGGGCGGGGCCGGGGACGGCGGCC